GTGATGAGTTACTTGCGGATGAACACTAGGAAGTGGTAAAAGAGATTATCAACACAGAAATCTTGGATACCGTCCCTTTAGTCACAAGAGATCCCAATAAAGGTCATCATCGCTGAAGAGAGGTCCGCAACGTATTCTGCAAGCAAAGTGGAAGGCTTGGTTTACGTGTCGAATATCAAAGAGCCAGACTGACCACAACGCATACCTGGAACTCAGGAACCGGTGCAACGTGAGAGTCAGAAGTGACAGGAGGTCATTTCAGGCTAACCGTGCCGAAAATCTCATAGCAAACCCCAGAAGCTTGTGTCGATTCATGTCGGAAAGGAAGCTAAACAACCAGGGGGCATGCGCCTTAGTAGGTCAAAGTGGTGAATACCTCACTAGTCTGGAATGGCTGAAACATTCAGTAAAGCCTTCTCCAAACAGTTAAACAACAAGGTAGGTATTGCTGGTACGGACCAAAATGGCGGCACTACTATTTCACTGGGTGAAGACCTAGTGGCTGTTCCCCAAATAAACACGGCAATAGTACTAGGGAAGCTACAGAGACTCACATTTGGAAAGTCCCCAGGTTGTGATGACATCAAGCCATCTGTTCTGAAACAGTGCGCCGAAGCTCTCTGTAGGCCCTTATACGACTTGTTCCAACATTCAATGGATTCGGGGAAACTGCCAAGGGAGTGTAAAAGAAAGTTCCTTTCTCCGATCTTCAAAGGTGGGGATAGGCAAAATGCCACTAGTTATAGACCAGTAGCCCTATTCCGAGTGGTATCAAAAGTACTGGAAATTATAATTGATGATCACACCAGGGAGCACCTTGATAGGTCTAATATACTCTTTGAAGCCCAACATGGTTTCAGGAAAGGTAGATCCTGTATAGCAAACCTACTATCAGCTTGAGACGACTAAACATAATGCTTGGATATGAATATTCCAGTCCGTGTCCATTTGACACAGTTCACCATGACCTTCTACACAAAATAAGTCAGGCAGGTATGGGTGAGCCACTTCTATCATTGTTGAAGGACTACCTAGCTGAAAGGAAATTTCGTACTAAGGCCCATCAGGTCCGATCATCATGGCACAGCTCATCATCAGGAGTGTCGCAAGGTTCTATCCTAGGACCACTGATGTCTTTCATTTTTATCTCTGACCTTCCATGCCATCTAATCTGCCCGACCCTTCTATACGCCAACGACGTAAAGATATGGAGGGCGATAAAGTGTTCGAAAGACTCAGATAGACTGCAGGCAGACCTGCAGCTCCTGGAAGACTGGGCGGTGGCCAATGGCATGACGACTTTCAAACTGAAAAAGTGCAAATTAATGAAATTACGCACCTGTATGCTGCAGAATGCAAGTTACGCCCTGTGCAACGAAGGCTTGTCCTGCACAACGTCGGAGAGCGACTTAGGTCTAGTTCTAACGGAAAAAAATGGACACAAGCGTAAATTACACGGGGGACTTAGCGAGGGCATATGTGGTCATACACTTTACACATAGACAGTTAGATGCACTCAGTCCTGAGCTCTTTCTAAGGTTGTACAATACATACATCAGACCACACCTTGAAGTGCATAATATTATTGCACCCCCACCGCTTAGAAGAGACGCAAACCTCTTGTAAAGAGTCCAACAAAAGGAGTGGTCGGTCTCCAAAATAAACCATATGATGAAAGGCTTAAGAAATTGGCCTATTCATACTTAGCTACCATCGGCTTAGGGGTAATCGGTCCCGCCTATAAGATAACAAATGACCAGAATCACCCAAACAGAGGTGTTCTGCATTAAATGGGTATGCGCTTCCTCGTAGAAATCACAGAAGGATAGCTCACCAGAGGGCAAGGACCCGGGTGCACTCCCACTTCTTTTCGCTGGGAGTTTGCCGTCCCTGGAACTCCTTACTGGCAGATATATCTATGGCACCGTCTGTGGAGACCTTTAAGCGAAGACTGGAAAATCATGCAGCGACACAAGGACTGCGTCCAAATAGCCTATCCCCTTGAAATCCCATACACCATTTGTGGGTAGACAACTAAATTCGTCGTTTTACTTCTTTACATTCTCTCCCGTCTTACTCTCCTGACAACTCCTAACTACTACGCTTATTATTATTACTGATATTATATATATTACATAAATATTATAAATATATAGGGAATAAGTAACTGGCTGATAGACAAACTTTGGTGAGAGCTGGCTGCTAGCCAAATTGGTAGACAGTAATTTACGTCAATGTTTACGTCTCCAATATTGGTCAGGAGAAAAATAAGAACAAAGACTGACTCAACAACCAATCACATCAGACTTTCCATAGGCGGATACAATTAGCAGATAGGTGATCTGACATTCAAGAAACGGCCACAAAGAGATGAAAGATTAACGTTCAACGAGAAACCACCAATCAGAAGACTGTGTTTGTTTGCTTACAATAATCTATAATAATGTACATGAAAATCTATGTGTTGATTTCCTTAATAAACGATCTGTTGCCTGGCTCTTGTCTTCTGTTGTTACGAAACTGCTGATAAACCACAAATTTCCAGAAATTATAAAAAGTGTTCCCTAGTTTTCTATACATCTTACGTGTGTGTATATTGAGAGCTGTAGATTGATTTATCCTGTTCAATACAGTCAATGTATCATAGATTACTGTAAAAGGATAAGTTACATTTGTATTCCAGGAAGCCAGTTAGTTATACTGCTTGAAAGACTTCGATCTTGTTTGCATTTAGCTTCAACTAGAAATAACCTTCCTGATTGCTGTGTGTTTTCATCTGTCCTGCTAGACTTGAGCTTTGGCCATACTACCTACTGACTCTATAGCCTGACCCATCTAATCTGGTGGTCTGGCTGTTCTTAATACCGCCCAAATTATAGTAAATTAAGAATATAATACTTATGACTGTCCAAAGATGTATTTTTTAACGGATAGTTTTAAGAAAGCATACAGAGATTCATAATTACACCACAACACAACAACCATGTATGGGTCTGTACCTGTAAATAATTCCCCAAAATTATTGACCACAGCAATCATCACTCAACATTGGATGCTGACCATCACTGTTTAAGTCGACTTGTTTAGCTGAAGGCTTCCGGTCAAGCATCCATGCCATTTGGTACTCCGTCGTGTCACGTGCGTGCACGATCACTAGCCAGCTAAGCATTCACTTCAGCCAGCAATTTGGTCCCGAAATATATATCGTACTTTGGATGACTAAATCTGGTCTTTTGCTTTGTCTTTGGTACTCGAAGAGCGAACACTATAGAAGTTGTTGGTATAAGATCTTGCGTTAGTATACTCCGTACAATTCGTGAACGTCGATACCTTCAACCTCTAAAGGTCCTTTGAAAACAAAATTGTCTGCAGTGTAATTTAACCGACACAGACAAACAATTTGATCGTTGAAGATCACTATTTCTACCTTATCGAGACAAAAATTTAATTCAGACATCTATAAAACACAAAATAATCGAGCAAAGAATATTCTTTTCGATAAATTCCTCTTCCAGGCTCTACAATTATATATATGTTTATATACACAGAATATTTTAAATTAGTAGTTAATAACTGCTCCTGTGGAGCCAGTTACATAGGCCGTACAATTAGGCGTGTTTCTCGTTGAATTTCCAAACATCACCCTGCAAAGTGGTTAAGTAAAGGACAAACAAAATCTATTCGCAGCGCTATCCTATCTCATCTTGTGGAGACAGAACACAAGATTGACGTTAACCATGCTTTCAGGATCATATACCGGATACCTACGAATCACAATTTTGCCTTAAGAGTTTGACTACTAAATATTGCTGAGGCTGTGGGGATCCATAATAATAAGCCTAATTTATGCATCCAAAAGAAGTTAGTTCAGTCATTATCATCACCTTGGCCATCCAGGTTAGAATAATCCAGAATTTTTGTGAAATTTTCCTAATTTCAGTTGATATTCTATTCGCTACTATATCTTTATTATTATTATTATAATTTAAGCATCTTTAATGAACTGTAGTAGCATTGTTCATACTTTACAAATCGATATTATTTAAAAAAACACTAATATTGTTATTGGCTACTAATCTAGAATATTCTGTGTATATAAACACATATATATAATTGTAGAGCCTGGAAGAGGAATTCATCGAAAAGAATATTCTTTGCTCGATTATTTTGTGTTTTATAGATGTGTGAATGAATATTTTGTTATATAAATTTAATAAGCAAGTATTTAGAACAGGCTTCATATTTCATATCAACAAATGAATTCACTACATACTGAGGATCAGATAGGCAGCTAGGAAGGACAAGCAACTAGGAACTCTGACAATAAAATCAACAAAGAAGCCATAATCCAAAAAATAAGTCGAAGACAATGGAAATGGATCGAACAGACACTGAAGAGAACATTGGGTGACATCACGCTTTAGACCAACCCTGGAGTGAAACCAGGCAGAGGAAGTGACAAGTTGAGCGCGGAGCCGAGGTTGACATGCTAGAGATCATGTGCAGCTATTAGACAATCGTGCAGACGACTACAGAAAACACGAAGGTAGTGCAGATGTACCTAAGGGAATTATGACAGTATAATTATTCTATGCACTTTATTAGTATTTCGTACACAAAATGTGAAGTACACTTCATGACCATAATCATTAAAGAGAGAGAGAGTAATAAGCGCATTCCATTTTTGGTTATTCAAAAACAAAATCAGAAAGACAGACAATAAATAGCCTAAATGAAAAATCATACAAGTAATCTCGTAGTTTATAAATTTTCAAAAAACAAAAATTAATTTCACAGTAAAATATTCATAAATAATCATTATATTATAATAAAATAAATAATAGCTGAAAATATCGTATACTAATGCGTAGTGTGTAAATCACATTGGCATAAAGAATGTCATAGATTGTTGCGAATCATAGGAAATACACAGTCATCCATTCCAGTGCAGTGTTTCTTCACCTTTTTCCTATATTATTATTATTACCTGCGCAGTTCAATTAGCGGGATGATTGACGTAGGAAATTGAAATATGGGAAATGTGAATAACCATTCTGTGAAAATAGTAAAATTAAATATATATATACAAACTACTAAATCGCATTAAGTAGTATATACAAGAACATAAAAATAAAGATGATTTATCCTTATAACAAATTAATAATATGATTTTTAGTAATAATTAAGTTTTGTTTGTTCGCATTCAGTTATCCAGAACAGATGTTTCACGTGACAAGCTAAGAGCCACAATTATCGTGTGATAGGCAATGATACTACTGAGCTGGTGAGGATGAAGTAGATGGAGCGGGACTCGAGCCCGTAACTAGCAGGTGAGCCTCATCTACGCGTTGTTGTCATCAATTACAGTGAGAGTTTACAAGATTTCTCCTTAGAAACTTACTGTTTTGATAAGAAACCACTTGTTCGAAAGAGATTTCTCATATACTGGACTGTACGCCACAATTATTATCTGTGGGCTGAAGATACTCCCCATGTCACACCCAGATTGAAGTAAATGGAGCTACGTCATTATAAATCTATCCTGTATTCATCATGAGAACTGATAAGTCTGTTTGATGCCTTCAGGTGTCAACTTCGTCACAACCCGACATCAGTTGCAGAATCACTGACGACAGTTCTTACGTCTTGCTTTAGGAGGTGTCAGCAGTACCTAACGATGAGCCATTACCGAAGCTGGAACTCACGGCCCTCAGGTTTTAAGCTGATTCCGTCAGGGGGTTCGAAACCACTGGTTGAATAGTGGACTGGCTTGACTGGTAAAATGAAGGCAACGGCTCCAGTATTTTGAGAGGTTATGGATGGGTGCGCATTACAAAAGAATTCAAAACTAGGAAGAAGTACCTGTCAAGTGCTTTTTCTTGTTGGTTTACAGTGAATCTTTGACCAGTGTAGGTTTGTGGCAATATTCACGCTGAAATTAATCACAGTCCCTAAAGAGCTTATAACTTTCTATAGTTTGTCATTTTGACATACTTTTACATTATCTTGGGAAATTTGGCGTTTTGTCTAGAAAACCTTACATTTTTGCTTAAAGAACTGTCTTTTGTGAAGTTGGCAAACTTATTTTCTACAGCAAAATTTTCAAATCAAATCAAAACATTATAACAAAAATGATAGAATCATAGTGATGTGAGAGCTGGCTGCTAGCCAAAGTTGCTAGACAGCAATTGACGTCAATGTTTATGTCCCCAATATTAGTGGTGAGAAAATGAGAACAAAGGCTTTGCGTAGGCGGGTACAGTTAGCATATAGATGATCTGACACAACCACAAAGAGATGCAAGGTTAACTTTCTGTGAGAAACAACCAATCAAAAGACTGTATTTTCTACTAACAATAATCTACAATAATGTACATTAAAATCTATAAATATGTGTTGATTTTCCTTAATAAACGATCTGTTGCCTGGCCCTTGTCTTCTGTTGCTACAATAGAACTACTTCTGAAGGGATATTTTGCAGCTAGAATTATTAGAAACCAAAGAGAAAGCAATGACAGTCACCAGTTGTGCGTATAACTTTATAAGAAATTGAAGAAGCAGAAAGCCATCAGGTTAGGAATCGACCGGACTGTTACTCATCAGCTGAGTCAATCGAAATTCTGAAAACTCTGACAGTTTCTTCTTGTTCACGGTACAACATCACTTTCACCTTAAAGTATTGCGACCAACATCCATTTCTGCAGTCTACAGGGATTCTTCAAAGATGGTGACTAATGAATAGTGAACTGGTATTCAGATGATTACCTTCGAATTCTGTTTCTAGAATCGTTAATGTTCACTGCTAGTGAAGCCGGAAAATAATATGCAGTGACTTTGTAAAGATTCTTGGGTTCCAATGGTTTTTTCCACTAGTCATGGTTCTCGACAAAATAGATTGTATAGGAAGGTGTAAACTGTCTGACTGGGGTCCTCAAAGATACCTGAAATCACTGATATGAGCTGAAATATTTTTGAATGGCTCACATGTACACCAAACTTTTGATCTTGGAGATCACATTAATTCCTCACTATTCTTTCTTTTGCACATTTCCGCTTACAATGGCTTCGTTACATTTGCCTTCCCCTTACCTTTATATATGCTTTTATAAAGTGTGGAAACTTAAACTACTGCACTTTTGTGCAAAGTTCTATAACGATGATTCGATTCAGTTCAATTTACGCGGTGGTGTAAATCAGCCTCTCAAACACCGAGCAACTTAAACAATAACTACTGTATCTATACTATAAATACTTTATTTCATAGGCCGTTGGATCGGATTCCAGTGGCTTAATGGTCTACGAGCTCGCCTTGTCCTGGGTTCGAATCCTCAGTGGGTGCGTACTGATGAAGAGTCTCAAACTAGGACGAAACAGCTGTCCAGACAAACCAATACTTGAACTACTATGTCTGTTGCTTAACTTAAAATTAAGACACGTTAAGAATTAAGTGGTGACAGTTTGATTCCACGTCTCCCACCTCTCTAACTGTGTTCTAATAAGTATGAGTTATTCTTAACATCTTTTCTCCTCGACATGTTATTGAGATGCTAAGTTGTAAAGTCGTAGGACAGGATAATTCAAGACGCGGTACGCAATACTCGAAAGTCTAGTATTCAAATGTAATGGAAATTAACAGGCAGGCAGATATCAAGTATGATGTAAAGGAAAACAAAAGTAAAATATTAAGAATATGTATTAAGTCCTTTGATTCAGCTCCGATTGGGCATCGGTGGTCATCCTTAGTTAACGCACTCCAAGACCTCACTTAACTGGTAGTAGGCCTAGGAAAGCGGGGGGGAGATAGGGTGTAAAACTAGAAACGCCACCCCGTAAAAAAAAGAACACCACTACTACTGGAATTTCGAAACTGCAGCTTGAAGCCATATGCTCCACTCAGGACAGAAAAGAGTAATAAATAGTAAATGAGAACAATTCAACTTCGATTAGGGTTTCCACACTAGGAGCTATAAACGCTACCTGTCTGTTTGAACATTTGAACTTGGACATATCGAGTAATGTCTTCAAGGTAGCAAATATATATGGCGAAATTCTTGAGACTTACAGTAGTTTAATTAGTAACCGGATTAGTATTATTATTGTTCCCTTGGGTTCCTAGTGGAACATAGGGCTTCAACTACACGTCTCCACTTGCTTCTGTCTTCTGCTGTACTTTTCACTTGCATCCATGTTAGTCCATACTGTTTCAGTTCCTCTTCACACGATCTCCTCCATGTCACCCCTGGACGTCCCACTCGCCGCCTCCCTTTCGGGTTCTATTCGAGCGTTGGCCTGACGCGCGATGTCAGCCAGCGGCCTCCTCAGCTCAGCGAGTGTCCAATCCATCTACACTTTCTCCTGCATATTTGTTGAGCGATTGGTTCTTGTTTTGTTTCTTCCCATAGTTTCTTGTTCTTTGTTTGTTCTTTCCGGCCATCTGATCTTCAGTATAGAGCGACGAAGACAGCTGTTGATAAAGGTCTGCAACAGGCTGTTGGAAATATTCATCGTGACCCACTGGCCAAGTTTCTGATCCGTATAGAAGAAGTGACTGACTTGACGTTTGTATTGAAAATCTGAATTTTGTTGTTGATGCTGAGGAGTGACGAAGATTTCCAGATTGGTTTCAGGTGGATGAATGTGTTTCTCGCCTTCCTGATTCTCGATTTGACATCCTCGTGCGTTCATCCTGTAGTTGAGACAATGCTCCCTAGACAAGTGAATGAAATAACCTCTTTCAAATCCCTCCCGTTGGTGGTGATTGGCGCTGGATGTTGCTGATGTTGTTGTTGGTTGGTTGCTTTTATAACCTCCGTCTTGTCTATGTTCACCTGCAGTCCTGTCTTCTCTGGCTGCTTCTTCGACCAGTTTGTCGGTTTTCGCTTGTAAGTCTTCGATTTTGTGTGACATCAAACATAAGTCATCCACGCGCGAAATTCAGGTCTTCTAGGTTCTTCATGTCGGTCCAGGATATCCCTGTCTTCTCGTTTCCCACTGTCTGACGCATAATCCAGTCCACCACAATTAGGAATATCATTGGTGATAATAAGCACCCTTGTCTGACTCCTGTGTTTACTCCAAACGCTTCGCTGAGTTTTCCGTTGTGGAACACTTGACATGTGCCGTTGTGGTACAGCTGTTGAATAAGGTTGATGAATATTTGGGGTACGCCGTAGTACTCGAGTAGTTGCCAAATTACTTCGTCGTCAACGCTGTCCACTGAAGGCCTTCTCAAAGTCTATAAAGTTGAGGTAGAGGTTTGATTTCCATTCCATGCTTTGTTCGATGATGATGCGTAGAGTTGCAATGCTATGCGCCTACAAACAGTTATGAATAGTAACGCTAATATGCACTACTGAAGAGTTCTGGACTAAGACGAATCAATTTTCCAGTGTTTTTTTTATCTTCAGCACTTATTTTCAACTGATAGTATTAGTGTGTGAAGAGAATGATAATACAGAATTGATTTATCTTACCAAAATAATAACGACACACACATTTAAACTTAATTTACATAAAGACAAAAACAAAAAAAACTTTTAAAAAAGGCACCAAATAATCTTTCACCTTCATTTTATTATCATTTAAAAATGTAGATGATTGAAACAATTTCGGTGGATCAATTGAGATGAGATTTTTCGATTTTGAACTGCTTCGACTGGTCATAAAGTGATTATTATAATTATTACTATTATTGTTACTGTTATTGTTATTTGGTGTTACTGGTGCATTATTATTGATATTGCCATTGGAATACCTTTTAGTTATTTCATAGAATGTGGTCTGTGATGAATTTCCAGTCGATTTTGTCTGATCTTCAGCGTCTGCTGATGTTGAATGATTAGGTGATGATGATGACGAGGAGGTTGATTTTTGTCTGTAGAAAAATTTACAGGAGATGAAGAGAAATTATTTTCAGAAAGTCAAAATCATTGATTTTGAAGGGACATAAAGTAGTAGTTAGGTTACTTCATTCACTTATCTAAGGAGCATTGTCTCAACTACAGGCACACCGAACGGACGAGGATGTCAAATCGAGAATTGGGGAGGCGAGAAACACATTCATCAACCCCAAACAAATCTGGAAATCTTCGTCACTCAACTCAGCATCAACAATAAAAATTTCGGATTTTCATTACAAACGTCAAGTCAGTCAGTTCTTCTTTACGGATCAGAAACTTGACGGGTCACAAAGAATATTTCCAACAGCCTGTTGCAAACCTTTATCAACAACTGTCTCCGCTCTATACTCAAGATCAGATGGCCGGAAAGAATCACCAACAAGAAACTATGGGAACAAACAAAACAAGAACCAATCGCCCAACAAATATGCAGGAGAAAGTGGAGATGGATTGGACACTCGCTGAGGAGGCCGCTAGCTGGGTGACATCGCGCGTCGGGCCAGTGCTCGAGTGTAACCCGAAAGAGAAGCGGCGAGTGGGACGTCAGTGCAAGGGTGACACGGAGGAGATCGTGTGAAGGAGAGTTGAAACAGTATGGACTAACATGGATGCAAGTGAAAAGTACAGCAGAAGACAGAAGCAAGTGGAGACGTGTAGTTGAAGCCCTATGTTCCACTAGGAACTCAAGGGAACAATAATAATAATAATAAAGTAGTAGTATTAGTAGTGGTAGTAGTAACTAAAGTCGTACGTCTAATCCTTCGTTTGGTGCATAGTAATTTCTCTTACGAGGTTGAATAGCTCACTGGTAACGTCTCTGACTGAGGCACTGAATGACCCGGGTTAGAAACACAGAAGGAATAAAAGTTTAATTCAAGATTCCAGACGCACCTAGCTGGCGGCGAGTGACAACAAGTATGAAATCTAGATTGAAGGCTTTCTACCAACTGCTTTAAACTATCTCACCTCGTCTGATTTTTAATTCACTGAGTTAACAGAGGTTAGGAATAATAAGCTGTTGACTAGCGACTTATTGTTAAATAGAAATCTGAGCTTTTAGGTTTATCTAAAAACAAGGGTGAGCATCACTCAAGTGTGTGTGTGTGAACTAGGATAATAAAACTCTCCAGTACTTTTTGAATTTCATTTATTGTCTCATTCATTTCAGTTTATCACGGAAACTATCTTAAAAGGAATCGAATTTATCCTTTTGACTCAACCTTATAAAATTGTTTTGTGTATTTATCTGTGCGTCGCTGGTACAGCCGTAGAATGCTCCCCAACTACGGCACACGTGATTCGAAGTTCGATCTCTGGCCGACGCACTTCTTTACCTCGCTAAACCAGTAATAGGACTGGTAAAGAGGGGAGATTATGCATGAGGCTAGCAACCCTATCTCGTAAAAATAAACACCAGTATGATAGAGAAGATTTGTAGCTCAGGTGGATGATTCTGATGTGGTTGTGTTCTCTGAGCTGAATGGTTCTTTGACTTGAACTTTGACCCTTTGTGTGTGAGGCTTCTTTCTTATCGGTTGATAAATTTTGTCTATCTCGATGTGTCAACAAAGTCACTTCACTCAGTTCTATGTCAACCAGAAGACTCAACAGCGAAAGAAGATAAAACCAACTTCATCAACAAAATAAATTGTATCAACTGCGAAAAACACTAACTTGGACAAAGTGGACCTCCCCTCCGTCTTCGTATCCACGTACATAAGCTAGCCGTCAAAAGACATGAATATCCACTCCCTCATATCACTACATACAGACAACTACGGACATCAATTCGACTGGAACAACGTTCAAATATTAGACAGAGGAAACAACAAGAATGCTAGAGAATTTTTAGAAGCTTGGCATTCCAGTGAATCATCAGTCAATAGAAACATCGAGATAGACAAAATTTATCAACCGATAAGAAAGAAACCTCACACACAAAGGGTCAAAGTTCAAGTCAAAGAAACAATGAGTTACAATACGAGTAACCTAGAAGGTGTGAAAACACACAAAAACAGCCAATCAAGTCCAAGGTCACCAGGAGAGATGATTAATAAACTCATGGAGAAATTTCAAAGCTCACTTCAAATCGAAGTATGCGCTGAAGATGTCGCCTAGTAGGGCGATGAAAGCTTCGCAAATAAACCATCCAGCTCAGAAAACACAACCACAACAAAATAAATACCAGTGCCACCGAAACCTCAAAGCTTTAGCTTGTAGCCCTGTGCTCCACTGGGAACGTAAAGGAAACAAAAACACATTTCCTCAACAAGTTAAAGCTAAAATTTAAGCTACAAGGCAGTAATGACAACATTACGTGTGAAATATAAGGTCAAGAAACAGGTAAAATACCAACATAAATGTACAACAGTTTGAATGGATTATGAATGAATTGTATGGGAGAATCAGCATCTATGCCGGCATTCAGCATCATTACACGAGATATCTAACGAAACCAAGAAACTGAAAGAAGAAGCAGAAAAAAACAGGTCTTCGAGTGAATATAGAGAAGACAGAGACGATGAAAATAACTGAACAACCAGCACCAGTTACTATTGACAGGAGGCATTTGAAAGAAGTCGCTTCATTCACTTATCTAGGCAGCATCACTTCAACTACAGGCACGCCGCACTGATAAGGATGTCAAAACCAGCTGGGATTGGAAAGGCAAGATAGACGTTTATTATTCTGAAACCAGTTTGGAAATCTTCTGCACTCCGTGGCACTAAGAACACAGATTTGGATATTCAGCACCAACGTTGAGTGAGTCAGATAATAAAGTATTCTTAATAACTCCTTAAATAATATTAGGCCTCAAACAACTATCTAATGTCCTTGTAAACAAATCTTTGTGATGAAAGCATTTCAGTAACATTGCCAAGATAGCTACTTATAAACAGATATAAGTAGTAAACACATTCAGAAAAGTAAAAATATGTTTCAGACACTGGGAAAAGCAATCGAAGAACAGAACTGTGAGAAGAAAGTTAGAAACACTGTGCAGAATCCAACAATGTGGTGATATTCGACCAATTTGCAAATGATGTGCAAATGAAGACTTAAAGATAAGGTATACCAAATTTATGTACGTACAATGCGTTTGTTTATCAGTCTTTTCAGCTTTACAGTGTCTTACGTCTCCTTCAAAGTAATCTACAAAGTGAAGAACAGCCTGCCAAAGACAATATGCTTCCATCTTTTTAGCATTACAGAAGCGCTAGCCATTCAGTTAGAAGAACCAGATCTATGCATACAAAAGAAAATTATTCAACCATTTCTAATATAATGGTAACAACTCCGTTGATTTGACTTAACTATTGCTTGCTTGCTGATTATTCTAACTACTTCAAACTCTTGAGTAGTTCCATGTGTTATTTTGTTTCTATGTACAGCGTGAGCACAACTCTTTCATCAAACTATTTACGTTGTTATTACGTCACTCTTCTTTAACAGTCGCTTGTGACAACTCGTCACTTTTGTTACTACCCTCTTATATCAACATCCAATTCATCTGAACTTACTAATTGTATTTTCGTTTGGCAAATTTAATATACACGCACACACATACAAAACAACCATATATATTTGCGACTGTACAGCTATGAGCTATATGCTCTGAAGAAGTAATTGAAGATGAACTAAGCATTGTATATGATACTTTGATCGAAAATGGCTATCCCGAAAAAATTTATCCAGAAACACATGACAAAGAAAGCGGCGGAAAAGGACTACTCACTATCTGTGAACAAGAAGCCACTTTATATACGACTACAATTCAAGGGCGATATAGCAAGTGAGATAATTACGAGGAAATTAAGAAAATCAGTTCAGAGAACTTTTAATGCTGGCGAACTACACGTCTTATTCTCTCTCTACACGACCGATGGTGCTGCTTCGACTGAAAGATGAAGTACCTAAACTAGCCACTTCAAATTGTATCTATCAATTCAGCTGCGCTTGTGGGGCGAGTTATACCGGCCGTTGCTCTAGGAACTTGATTTTTCGTGCTCGTGAACATATCCCACTATGGCTAAGTAAAGGTGTAGCGAAAACCATCATCAACAGTTCGATATTAGACCATCTGGTGCAAACCGGCCACAAAGCCAGCCAGCGTAGAAGAATCCTTCTCTATCATCTACCGGGTGCCTAACAAATTGCCAAAATCATCGAAGTACCGCATGCTCCAAACAGCAGAGGCTATTGCAATTCGCCTCAAACAACCAATGCTCTGTGTTCAAAAGAAGCAAGTTCAACCATTACTACTACTGCCCTGGCTGGCCCTCAGTAGAGACTATAAATTCATGAATTTGTAATATTATCTTTCCTAATTCTTCTCACATTCAGCTTATTTTATGTTGAGCTGTAATCTATCAATATTATTGATTCAATATTATTTAAACAACATTAATGTCGTTCATAACACTAATTCATTCATTCACTATAATGTATATATAAATGTGAAGCCTGATGATGATGAAGTTATCGAAAAGAGTACTCTTTGTTCAGCATCCATTCTTTTGAAAATGAATTCGCCGGCGAAAAGGGACTCTTCACTGAACTACTGGTCTTCGTGTCTATTAATCAGTCAATGAATTGTAAAGTCGCTTAATAATGCGTACAATTAAACAATGCAACCACTTAAAAACACGTTATCCTAGAGACATTTAATTAACCCTAAACGTTAGAATAAGAAGCGTGAATGACTGAGATAACTGCTTACCTCGAAAGCATTAAAGCGTCTCTTTTCCCATTTGATGCATAATTCAATCCTAATGAGAGACGATTTTTCACTGAATTATCACGATCATTTCTACTAGTTAGAGATCGAGTGTATGGAACTAGCCAGGCTAAAATCTGAAAAATAAAGATACAAAAAATCAAAAACAATAGACGATTCTTCACTTTTGATCTGCTTCTCACGAACCTATCTATCCGCAATGTGTTATTTACTCAGTGGACAATTAGTCTGTTATTCGGTTATGCTGTTAAGTGCAAGGCAATGAATGCTGCGTTCAAAACTGAGTGTCATTATTATTATTGTTCCCTTGGGTTCCTAGTGGAACATAGGGCTTCAACTGCACGTCTCCACTTGCTTCTGTCTTCTGCTGTACTTTTCACCTGCATCCATGTTAGTCTATACTGTTTCAACTCCTCTTTACACAATCTCCTCCATGTCACCCTTGAACATCCCACTCACCGCTTCCTTTTCGGGTTCCACTCGAGCACTGGCCTGACGCGCGATGTCACTCAACGGCCTCCTCAGTGAGTGTCCAATCCATCTCCACTTTCTCCTGCATATTTGTTGGGCGATTGGTTCTTGTTTTGTTTCTTCCCATAGTTTCTTGTTGGTGATTCTTTCCGGCCATCTGATCTTCAGTATAGAGCGAAGACAGTTGTTGATAAAGGTCTGCAACAGGCTGTTGGAAATATTCTTTGTGACACACTGGCCAAGTTTCTGATCCGTATAGCAAAACTGACTTGACGTTTGTATTGAAAATCCGAATTTTGTTGTTGGTGCTGAGTGACGAAGATTTCCAGATTGGTTTCAGGTTGATGAATGTGTTTCTCGCCTTCCCGATTCTCGATTTGACATCCTCGTCCGTTACTCCCATAGTTGAGACAATGCTCCCTAGATAAGTGAAAGAAGTAACCTCTTTCAAATCCCTCCCGTTGATGGTGATTGGTGGTGGATGTTGCTGCTGATGCTGTTGTTGTTGTTGGTTGGTTGCTTTTATAACCTCCGTCTTGTCTATGTTCACCTGCAGTCCTGTCTTCTCTGGCTGCTTCTTCGACCAGTTTGTCGGTTTTCGCTTGTAAGTCTTCGATTTTGTGTGACATCAAACATAAATAATCCACGCGCGAAATCCAGGTCTTCTAGGTCCTTCATATCGGTCCAGGATATCCATGTCTTCTCGTTTCCCACTGTCTGACGCATAATCCAGTCCACCACAATTAGGAAAATCATTGGTGATAATAAGCACCCTTGTCTGACTCTTGTGTTTACTCCAAACGCCTCGCTGAGTTTTCCGTTGTGGATCACTTGACAAGACTGATTGGCAGCACAAATCATCCCTGTCCTGGAAGAGTTCTAAATTGAGTGAAACACACGTCTGATACAGAATATATATATATATATGTATATGATTAAGAACTCAGTATAGGCAATCCTGAAGCATGGTTACGAGGATTACAGCTGGTATAAAAGTTCAGCAGCTCAAGTTGCCCTACTTCAACAAAGCATACATAAAGGTAGAGAAAAAGAGATATAAAGGAATGATGATAAGAGAAAATTTACATCAAAACGAATAACTACACAGAAAATAAAGAGAACATAATGGATCTGAATGGTTGCAAAGAGTGAACGCCTCTGAGACATTGAACAAAAATTTCGAATACCACCATCATCAAGAGTGTATGTTAGTTATACTAAAATGGCTAATGATTTCATTTAGTTTACTTAATTAAGTAACGACCAGGCTGAACAATGTATTAATGGACATTGTCAGTAGTTGTTTGTCAGGGATTTGATCGATTTCAGTTTTCATCACTAACTGGTCAAACTAGGGAGTACTGCAAAAGCTGTTTCGTTCTTGTTTGGGACTCTTCAGCATTGGATTCCATCCCACTGGGTGAGTGGTAAAGGGGTTTACCATGTAACCTGAATGCCCTGGATTCTATTCCTAGTGGAGTCATGGGTGTGTACTGATAAAGATTCCCACACAAGGACGAAACAGATGTTCAGTACTCCTAGGTTCTCGGACAGGAGTTAGTTCTCGAACAGAGCTGAAATATATGGTCAGCTAAATATTTAGAATTAGCGCGTCACAAACAAGTTACAGACTTTTATCAACAGCTGCCATTTACACTGGCTTCATACCGAAGATCAGTTGGCCAGCCATAAATAATTAGCACCAAGAAACTCTGGCAAAAAACCAACCCAAAGGCGATTGCTCAACAAATGTGTAGGAGAAAATGGAGATGGATCGAGCACACGCCATTGAGGAGACCGTCGAATGACATCGCATACCAGGCTATCACTCGAGTGGATTCTCAATAGAAAGTGACGAGTGGGTGTTCGGTGAGAGGGTGAGAGAAACTGAAATGATTAATTCCAACATTTTCTGCTTTCGGCAATCTGGTCCGAACTTCTTCAGGGAAATTAATCGAAATTAACACAATAGGGGTTTATATTTTAAAAACTTTGTCCAATCATGAGTCATGAAGAAGTCCGGACCAGTTTGCCGAACGAAACGTTGGAATTACTCATTTTAATCTCGCTGAGATTTTACAAACATAATGTTTTACAAATGTCTACTTCTCAATCGGCGCCCAAATATTTTAGAACTATTCTTTCAAATCTTGATGACAGTTCACATGAATTGTATGAACTGTGATCAATATTTGACCTCAGACTTTCAAAATTAGTCTGTTTTTGTTATACACTTCAAAACAGAGAGTACTTTTTAACAGATTACGTTCAACTAAAAGTTTATGGTCGTAGATAACTGAATATGAAAATATATGTGTGTATATGCAGTATACAATGGTGTGTGTATGTGTGTATGTGTGGGTAAACAGTCATAAAACATTTGTTAGCCTCTCCATAAGAAGAAGTAGACAATCGGGAATTTGACCAAGTATGATTAATTATTGATACATATCCAATTTTATTTAATAGTCAGGACTTGCCATGCATCAACTAACATCACACCCTCACGTCTGTTCAAACTGTTGGGATTCACTTATATATGTAGGGCTTCTGCAGTCAGTCTTTCTTTATATGAACCAAAACCTTTCTGTAAAACCTTAGTCTTATCAAAGTCGATTTGGTGTCCCATTTCTATCGAATGCAGTGCAGTCGCTGATCTATTTTCTAGCTTCTTTAAGTCTGCAGAGATCTTTGGAACCACTTTTAGACATTGATTATGCTCTTTCACTCTTATATTTACCTGTCTGGAAGTTTCTCCTACATATACAGCAGCGTCACAGTCCCCACAATTGATCTGGTACACACACTTCTGTTGGTTTTCTTCTTCTATTTTATCCTTAACCTTCACCAGTGATGAGCGTAAGGTGTTAGTTGCACGAAAATACACTCTTATGTTATGATCGTTAAGGATTCGCTTTATCTCATCGGATGTTTCTTTGCGGTAAGGAATCACCGCTGTACTAACCCAATTCTTAGCAATAGGTTTCGATCCATCCTTATCTTCACATTTTAAATATCTTTTTATGAAGGCTTTAGGATAATTATTTGATTCAAGAGTGGATTGAACCAATTTTAGCTCCTTGCTCATATCTTCCTCCTCAGTAACTAGACGTTTGGCTCTGTTAATCAGACTCTTGGCCACAGTTACTTCGGTGGTAAAGGGGTGTGCTGAATAGTAGTCTAGGTATCTGTCTGAATTTGTCGGCTTTCTAAAAATGTTTATTTACTCACTCCTAAAATATGGTTAAGATATGTAGATGATACTTTTGTAGTGCTAAAACGAGATCTACGCAGTTCATTCTTAGAGAAACTACACAATCTATCTCCCAGAATCCAGTTTACTTCCGAAGCAGAATCAGACATCGGTGAACTATCATTTCTAGACTGCCTAGTTGATAGGAGGGAAAACGGACATTTTAGTATATCTACACATTCAGGAAGAAAAACCACTGAAATAAATATTTAGACTTTGGATCGTCACACCCCATCAGTGCAAAGGTGTCAGTTGTTTCAAGTCTTCTTAGACGATCACACTGTTTGATATTAATGGATGAAAAAAAAGAAAAAGAAGAAGAAATATCAAACATCACTGAGACTCCCAAGCAAAATAACTACCCAAAGGACTTCATCAACAATATCAACAATGACGTTAAATGTGGTTAAAAACTTATTCTGAAAACATGGACCTAAACAGTAGCCATTCCACATAGAGCTGTGACGTCAGACGATTTCAGGAGAGTACTCAATCAGCTCGACATCAGAGTTTTCTTCAAAACATCAGACACACTACGAAACAAACTTGTCCATATAAAAGACCAAATCCCTAAAGATTCTCTATCTAATTGTGTCTATAAAATAAAATGCTTGGAATGTGATGCGATATACGTCGGACAAACATCTCGAGAAATCAAAATCAGAAGAAATGAACACCGTAGAGCATCTGTTCGACCACCGAGAAATCCAATTGAACTAGAAAAACTTGAAAAATCATCAGCCATAGGTCTATATGCTATAGAATCAGGTCACAAAATTGATTTTGACAGTATTGAAATAATCCATAAAAACTCCAGAAATCACAAAGAACGTCTAATATCAATCAGAAGCACTTCATATCAAGTGGAATCCAAATTGTCTGAATAGGAATGATGGACCAAAACAGAATCTGACCTGGTTACAACACCTCCCTCCCCCATGAACTGACAAAACCAACACGAATGTGATAAACAAGTTCACTATGTAAACACACTGCTATTATAATTTTACACACTGATCAAATCCAACAAGCATCTACACTTGGTTTTGTTATCTTTACCAATTGACCAACTTGACAAAAAAAAATGACCCCAGACTGACGAACGATAATCAAGTTAGTAAACTTTATTTTGATATCATAACAGACGTACTATTACCTTTGTTATTTAGTTTAGGGATCTTCATTGCTATAGACCTAACTTGTCTATTTTCTCACCTCTTAACTCTTTGTTATATATATATGCTGAGATTTTGTAAATTCCGGTTTAATAATACTTTGAAAAAGCTATTAGGATTAAATAGCGAAGCGTCAGTAAAAGCAATATCGTTTTGTTTTTCATTCATTCACTGGGAAATAAGAAAATCTTTATTATATTGAAAAATAATTGTTTAGAATTCTTAAATAAACGTAAATTTTCTGGTTGCAGTCTTTGAGGATACAAGGAATCAGTAGTTGAATTAATTAAGTAACAGATGTCGCAGATATCTCCACCCACCCTTTAGATCCTCATACTTCTAAATCTGTTTTCTTACTCATTCTTGCTTATTATGAAATCACTTCTTGCTATTGTTTTGCATGTGTTCACTCTGGAAGTATGGCAGTAGAAACTGACGTATTTATGTCCACAGTTCTACACTGGCGTGTTAGTCAATCAGCATGCTCCATTTACTTGTATTAGTTTAAAGAAATGACTTCAGTGTATTCAAAAGTCAACTCCAGGAATATGGTACTATGTAATCAATTGTGAAGTCATAATAATTTTCATTTGGAAAACTACAATTATCATTATTATTATTATTGTTATTAGTATTGTTCCCTTGGGTTCCTAGTGGAATACAGGGCTTCAACTGCACGTTTCCACTTGATTCTGTCTTCTGCTGTACTTTTCACTTGCATCCATGTTAGTCCATATTGTTTCAACTCTTCTTCACACGATCTCCTCCATGTCACCCTTGCACTGACGTCCCACTCGCCGCTTCCCTTTCGGGTTCCACTCGAGCGATGGCCTGACGCGCAATGTCACCCAGCGGCCTCCTCAGCGAGTGTCTAATCCATCTCCACTTTCTCCTGCATATTTGTTGAGCGATAATTTTGGATCACGAGATGAAATTGCTTAGAGAACCGTAGAAAAGCTTTCGATGCTAGACAGGTGTTCGCTACTGCCGTGTCTACACAAGGTTCCTTAACTGACATCAACTTGTGATCTAACATGAACCTCAACGGTCTTTTCATCTTTTACCACTATCACAGTTGATATTCCTAACTGTGTCGGACAGGATTATGCGTCAGAATATGAAGAGTGAGAAGAAAGAAATACACTGGACTGATGAGAAGACTCTAGAAGATCTGAATTTCGTGGATGATTTATGTCTAGTGACACACAAACTCGAAGACTTACGGGTGAAAATTAACAAAATGGCTGAAGAAGCAGCAAAGACAAGACTTCAAGTGGACACAGAGAAGACGGAAGTGATGAAGATAACCAATAACAACAATGACCAGCACCAATCACTTTCAACGGAAGAAATTTGAAAAGGCTTAATTCTCTCACTTATCTACGAAGCATCGTTTCAATCACGGTCGGTCGGTTTTCGACATACGACTTTGCACATATGTGCGGCAGTTCAAGTCGCCACACTCCCTCCTTGTAGCACACGAAGCAAGAGAAGAAAGTAGGAGAAATGTATATTAGAGACAGCAAACAGGGGTGTGAGACAAAGGAATAGTAATAACGAAGGACCATATAGTTTCATTGGGTATTATAAGTCACAAGGAGTGGATGCATCTGCACCAGCCATAGAGAATGATTTTCAGCTATGCCACCAATTGTTTCCAACCATTGGTTCTTACCGTCCCGAGGACCCCAACCAGGAAGTCTACACCTTCCTACGTGGCTTAGACTAACTGTTGTAGATTTCATTGACTGGTAAAGCCATGTTTTGGTTTGACCGGCGCTAGCTCTTTTCCAGCCTGACCCTATCCCAGTCAGCTAAAATTTCCCGTTGAGGAAGGCGATGACTAGGCATACGTAACACATGTTCTAACCATCTCAGTCAATGTAATTTCACAGCCTCGTCGATTGATTTCCCCTCCTTACCTAGTACTCGACGTCTAACCTCAATATTGTTCACCTTATTATACCACTTCACGCGGGAGATAGAACGCAGACACCTATGATCAAAGATAGCTAATCTTTTCATGTCTTCCACTCTCAATGGCCAGGTCTCACAACCATAAAGGAGGACGGAGCGGACTGTTGAGCAGTACACACGCCCTTTGGTCGATAGTCGGATATCACGTCTACGCCAGAGACGGCGTAAACTGGTATATGCGAAACTAGCCCTCTGTATTCGTGCTGAAATTTCGTCAGAGATCAACCCGTTGGCACTGGCTGATGGTACTTCCCAAGTAAGTGAAGCGGTCAACGTGCTCTACCACTTCACTTCCTATTTCAATCACAGTCGACAGCAACAATGAGGACGTCAAAACCAGACAGGATTGGAAAGGCAAGAGAGACGTTCATCACTCTGAAATCACTTTGATAATCTTCCCCAGTCAGCAAGGAGTACAAGATTAGGATTTTGAACACCAATATCAAGTCAGTCAGTTCTTCTGTATGAGTCAGAAACGTGAAGCATTTCCAAGAGGCTATTTCAGACTTTTATCAACAGCTGGCTTCACTAGCTCCATACTGAAGATCAAATGGCCAGTGACAACGGATTAGCAACAAGAAACTCGGGGAATAAACCAACCAAGAACCTTTTCCTCAACAAATATGTTGAAAAAAATGGAAGTGGATAGGACACACACTAAGCAAACTACCAATGTGCATCTACCAATTCACCTGCTCGTGTGGAGCCAGGTATATCGGCTGTACTCAGTGTTCGCTATCTAAACGCGTCAACCAACATTTACCTGCATGGTTTTATAAAGGAGGAAACCGATTCCCCCGCAGCTCGATCCTTGAACATTTGATCGACTCTGGACACCAAGTCAAACCAGAAATAAACTTCAAAGTTATCTACAGAATAAAAGGCAATCTTGCTAAAAGTGTACGGATCAAACTTCTCCACATCGCAGAAGCAATGGCAATTCATCTGCTAAATCCTGAACTCTGCAAACAAAAGAAATTCGTTCATTCATTAAATCTGCAATGGACGTAATCTTTCTTAATTTCAGTCTTACTAATTGTATTATTATGTCTTTTGCATTTTATTACTTCACATCTTCATTTGTATTATCCTCTAACCCACCCTTTTGTAATCTCTACCCTCATTAAGAATGTTGCTAACTCGACCCACGTCCAATTTCTAGTCAACTATATTACGTCATCCGATTAACTTAATCAATTTATTTTATTTTCTATCTAATTAACGTTTGTTTCCAAGCCAAATAATACTTATATTACGTAATTATCTAAACTTTATAAATCTAATGTACACACACACAAACAAAATTGTACATAAATGCAATTGTACAGCTCAGTGGATGAATTCGCCGAAAAGAGTCTCTTCGCTGAACTCCTTCTTTTCTTTTATATCACTGAATGGGGATTTTCAAGTTACTTAAACCATAGAATGACATCGTGCGCCATGCTATCGTCCTAGTGGAGCCCGAATGAGAAACGCCGAATTGGACAGTGGTCCGAGCGTGAAATGGAAGAGATAGTGTGAAGAGGAGATGAGAGCGTATGAGCAGTTGTGCAGCCATCTAAAAGGGATCACAGGGAGGAATACAAAGTACAGATGTACTGCTGAAGCTCTATTTTTCACTCAGAAATCAAGGGAACAGTAATATCAGTACTGAGTACTGTAGGTTACACCTTATCAACAAATAAAAAGTACTGTATTGAATAAATAACTATTCAGTTGATAACCACATGAAGAAACCCTGCATTAAAATAAAATATACTGTAACATACTTCATCGTAAGAATTTGATACAATTGTTATATAATTTGAACCATTCATCCATTTACAAACACTTGGACATCGAAATTCACTTCTTGTATTTTGCATACTGGAAGTTACTGGAGCACTATTTGACCAGAGAGTAAGAACAGTGCGTGGTGACATTCGAGTATCCGATGGGAAAGTGAACTCATTGATTTTCTCTTGACCATGTTTTTGCCAGACTTTATATAATCCAATATCAAGCTCCTATATATATGTATGTAGAAGGATAAATAGAATATATATATAAATATATTAATGTAAGTATGATCAAAAACATGGAAGTTGGATTGTGAATACTAAAATTAGATACTAACAACAAACAGTTCCGGAGTTAGTAATCAGATATCCGATAATGACCACTAATGAAACTTCAGACTTCAACCTTGAAGCCCCTTATTCTCTTTCGAAAGTGCAGAGTAGTGAAAAGAGTAGAAAAGTGTATTTGAAAACATTGAGAAATTTCATGTTTGTGTAGTTTTTAGTATTCTGATTCAAGTTTATATATATACATATATATATATATGTCGCTAAATGATCGTGGTTAGAAATGATGGACGGTTGAAATTCGTCTTATTAACCGAATGGTCAACTGGTTTCCCTTGTAACCTAAGGGTCCTGGGTGCAAAGTGCAACTGAAGAGTCACAAAAGAGGATGAAACAACTGTTTGAAAGCAAATCATAGTAGAAAAGAAAAGGCGTTCAGCAAAGAGTTACTCTTTTCGGCCATATCATTCTCAAGCTGTACAAACCGCAAATTTATAGTAATTTATCTTGGCAACAAAAGGAATATTTCCAAAGATATGTTAATGCAATTGTTAATTTTTGACAACAAATCACGTAATTTAGAAGGCGTTAATCGGTTAGAAACTAAAATAAAGTTACAAAAGTAGGTTGGGTGACGTAATCTAATTGCTAGGGTTCAATGAAAAATGAATGTGAGTCAAGTTAATAATCTGAGTAGAATTCACTTAAAAATAAACGAAAATGGAGTTAGCAACAGTCGTCATGAGGGTAGAGATTTAATAGAGGGTGGGGGTAAAAAATAATGCAATTAAGAAACAGACAAACAAAGAAGAAAGAGGTAAGACAAAATTACGTATTTGGTGTTGAGATAGATCAGGACCATTGTAGATTTAGTGCCTGAACAAATTTCTTTTGTATGCAGAGTTCAGGATTCAATATGTGAATTGCCATTGCTTCTGCAGTTTGAAGAAGTTTAATTCGTACTCTTTTGGCAAGATTCCCACGTATTGTGTATATAACTGAGAAGTTGTTTTGTGGGTTTGCTTGGTGTCCGGATTCGATCAAGTGTTCTAGGATAGAGCTGTGGCGGGGGGGGGGGGTGTCTTCTTTCTCCTTTATAAAACCATGAAGGTAAGTGTTCACTGATTCGTTTGGATAGCAAACGCTGGGTACGGCCGACTTGCCTAGCTCCACATGAGCAGGTGAATTGGTAGATGCACATTGATGAGGCCCCCAGTGGAAGCTTATCCTTCACGTTCATAGTACACTGGAATGTACGGACACACTTTTTATGCTCCATGGTTATGTACGAGTGACGTATATCATCTTAGGGCTGGTAATACTGTAACAGTAGAAGACAAGAGTCTTTGTAATGGAATGCATATTATGAATTTGGTACCTCTATATGGCGAAATTATGTACACCTTATCTTCTTCAAACCACCATTCGCACAGATCTTTCGTGGTGTTGTGCTTTTTCTGGCCTTCATATTGTAAATGTGTTTCTTTGTGTTCCTTTCACATCTTCCATGTTTCTCTGCAACGCTGAATCATTTGCTTTCTCTGACGTCAAATCTATCTTCCTGCTGTTTGATGCTTTTATGCCTACGAACATCTCTTTATATACATACTACTGATAAATGTTATCAGTAGCACACGTCACAATACTACCCACCTGTCCAGGTCGACGTAGATGGGACAGGTGAACAATTTTCTAACGTTCACCATACTGTCACCATTAGTTTTGTGAACAAACTGTGTACCCAATAGATAAACTTGAATCAACACGCTAAAAACTACACAAACATGAAATTTCTCAATGTTTTCAAATACACTTTTCTACTCTTTTTTCACTCCTCTGCACTTTCGAAAGAGAATAAGGGGCTTCAAGGTTGAGGTCTGAAGTTTCATTAGTGGTTTTGTGTGATAGATTTTTTTCGGAAGTGGGTTTGCCAGCTTCACGCAGTGAACCTCCTCTTTTTACCCGGATGTCTTCAATCCAGACTGACGTATACCTTGCGGGACGTTTAACGTTTCATATCGTATGCTAATAATCGGCTCTCCTGTGTTCACTAAAACACGGCGTTTATCGCGGTAAAAACTCCAGACTATAAGAGTCGAGTTTACAGATATTCTGGAGTTGGGAATCGTCAAGTCATCTAAAAGCCAACGGTTTTCTTCTGTGAACAGAGTCTAGAACACTTGTGATGACTACAGACGATTCATTCCCTTCAGAAGCCAATCGTCACTTCTCCCTCTTTGCTACAGTCTTTTTTAGTTGATTCTACCATTGTGTAGATTTGATTTGGTCCTTAGACTATCTCCTCCACTTCACTGTTTGACGCCCAACTCGTCGTTTCCCATTTCTGTTCTACTCATCAGTCTTGTAAACTTATGTCCAACTCATCTCCCTTTCTTTCTACGTATTTGACAGGCATCCGGTTATTGGTTGATTCATTGCCGAAGTTCCTTTTTAATTGTCCTTTCTGGTCAGTCATCTGATCCAGAGTAATGAGAGAAGGGATCACCTGTTGATGAAATTCTGTGGCCCATAGGAAACACTTTTGGTGACACTCCTAGATTAGAAATAGGAAGTGAAGTGGTAGAGCACGTTGACCGCTTCACTTACTTGGGAAGTATCATCAGCCAGTGCCAACGGGTTGGTCTCCGACGAAATCTCAGCACGAATACAGAGGGCTAGTTTCGAATATGCCAGTTTACGCCGTCTCTGGCGTAGACGCGATATCCGGCTGGCTATCGACCAAAGGGCGTGTGTACTGCTCGTCAGTCCGCTGCGTCCTCCTTTATGGCTGTGAGACCTGACCGTTGAGAGTGGAAGACATGAAAAGCCTGGATAGCTGTCTTTGATCATAGGTGTCTGCGTTCTATCTCCCGTGTGAAGTGGTATAATAAGGTGAGCAATGTTGAGGTGAGGCATCGGTCGAGTGCTAGGTAAGGAGGAGAAATCAGTCGACGAGACTGTGAAATTACATTGACTGAGATGGTTAGGACATGTGTTACGAATGAATGCCTAGTCATCGCCTTCCTCGACCGACGGGCAATGTTAGCTGACTGGGATAGGGTCAGGCTGGAAAAGAGCTAGCGCCGGTCAAACCAAAACATGGCTTTACCAGTCAATGAAATCTACAACAGTTAGTCTAAGCCACGTAGGAAGGTGTAGACTTCCTGACTGGTTGGGGTCCTCGGGACGGTAAAAACCAATGGTTGGAAGCAATTGGTGATATGGCTCAAGATCGTTCTCAATGGCTGGCGCAGATGCATCCACTCCTTGTGACTTATGATTTCCAATGAAACTGTTTTTTCTTCGTTATTATTATTCCTTTGTCTCACACCTCTGTTTACTGTCTCTAATATGCATTTCTCTTACTTTCTTCTCTTGCTTTGTGTGCTACAAGGAGGGAGTGTGGCGACCTGAACTGCCGCACATGTGTGCAAAGTTCTATGTCGAAAACCGACCGACCGACCGAAAAAATACAGAAGAAGTGACTTAAACTAGCATTGAAAATCCGAATCTCACTCCTTATGCTGTATACACTGGACTCCACATTAATTTCAGATTAATGAAGCATTGTCTTACTTTCCGATCCTGCCAGCCTTTGAAATCCACATTTGTGTCTCATGTAGGTGAAACGATGCTCTCTAGGTAAGCGGAAGGAGTGATTTCCATTAGATTTCTAGGCACAAATCATCTTGCACGAAGTTCAGATCTCGAGTAATTTATTAACCAATCCTAAGCCCAGAAAAGAGGGAAGGCTGAACTTAAGGCAAGCAACACAACACCCAGAAAATCAATCCAGTTGCTTCAGAAATTTTAAAGCAAAGAAGAAAAGTGCAGATATTGTATAGTCTTGTGGCGTGTGCTACTGATAAGATTTATCAGTAGTATATAAAGACAACTTCATCGGTTAAAAGATATCAAATAGCGTAGAGATACATTTAACTATTGTAAGATACTGAAATGCACTAGTTATTAGATCGAATGTTCTAATTGTCAGTGCGATAAACATGACTGATCTCACGCAAAATTTAATTTTCCCTGCAAGGAAGCAAGCAAATATTTAAAATTATTGTGGCTTAAAAAAATATGACTGGAGTTAGCTAAGTATAAATTTTTTTCATGACAACTCTTATTAGTATTCCCTTGGGTTCCGAGTGAAATATAAGGCTTTAACAACATATCTCCACTTTGTTCTCTTTTCTCCTGTCCTCCTCAGTTGGGTCCACGATTGCCCATAGTCTCGCATTCCCTCCTCGCGCCGTCTCCTCCATGTCACCCTCGCACCGACAACCCAAGCGTCACTTCCTATTGGGAATCCACTCGAGTGATTGCCTGACATGCTATGTCATTCGATGGCCTCCTCAATGACGTGTGCTCGATCCGTCTCTATTTTCTTCTACACATTTGTTGAGCAATCGCCTTTGGGTTGGTTTTTTGCCAGAGTTTCTTGGTGCTAACGAGGGGAATGATTCAGCGTTGTGGTAGAACATAGGAGACACGAAAAGAAGACGAAAAACAAAAATACGAAGGAAGGGCAGATGTAGCACAACACCAGGGAAGATCTGTTCAAATGACTACTTTCATATATGGTGTACATAACTTCCCTATATAGAGATATCAAATTCCAAATAAACATTCCGTTACCGAGTGTCTTATCTCCTACAGTTACAGTCTCTTGAAATTCTGTCTTACTGTCAGGTGGTTAAAAAAAACAATTACAAACAGAAATGGATTCAAGTTCTGCAGCTGTCTGCCCACATGAAGGTAATGTGCTTGTTAATTTGGAGAAGGCTCATTTACCACATAAGATTTTCCTACATGAAACGTGATACTCAAAGCTTCGTTGACTAGAACAAAACTAACATTTGCTAAACTGGATGAAAATCGTACACCACAGTTAGTAGACTACTAAACAGTACAGTTAGGCGTAGAGTGTTGGGCAAAGAGGGAAAATCAATCGACAAGGCTATAAAGTTACAAAGACTGAGATGGCTAGGTCACGTGCTGCGCATGCCTAACCATCGCCTCCTCCGATGGGCATTACTAGCTGATATCGGTGCAGGCTGGAAAAGAGTAAGTGGTGGCCAGACAAAACCATGGCATTAATCCATGAAATCCCTGACAGTTAAACTGAGTCAAGTAGGGAGATGCAGACTTCCTGACTGGTTGGGGCCTTCGGGACTCTAAGAATCAATCAATGGCTGGAGACAATAGGTGACATGGCTCAAAATCGTTGTCAATGGCTTACGCAGATGTATTCAGTCTCTGTAATCTTTCATATTCCTTTCTACCATTACTCATTCTGTTTCACTCTTATACTTGTCAAAACTCTATTGATTCTCTTCACTCATTTTCTTGTCTACGTTTGTGTGCTATTTGGAACGTGGCAACTGGAACTGCTGCACTTCGGTGCCAAGTTCTATGTTGAATCCAGCCAGCCAGCCAGCACTAAACAGTATGACGTAGAGGACCGTTGGATTTTTTCAGAGGATATGCGACTTTGAGGGTTGGAGGCTGACATGGTACCTCATGTAAGAATGAATTTAAAACAAAACGGACTATGAGACCGAAATATTATCTTCCAGCCATTGGACTGGAATCTGACATTTCATGGTTTTCATCACTTTATGGTCCGCAACAATCGTTTAAACACCTCTTAAAAGTTTGAGGACATCAAAAAGTTGCATATGACGTTATACACCGTCTACAGCCAGACAGTATCACAAATAGTGTGTATTTATCAGGCTCTATTGAATTCCGCTGTTACCTTTACGTGGATCAATAAGAAGTGCTATAATTGAACATATATTCAACACTGGTCCCTCAGAATGTAAGGAGAATTCAGTCAAAGTCGTCTACGAAGTCAAAAGAAGTCTCCCGAAATAGGCTAAGTTTCCGTATACTTCGCATTGCCGAAGCCTTAGCGATTCGGGTAGAAAATCCAGATTTCTGTACACAGAAGAAACTTCTACACCCCTTCCTTCCACCTTGAGTATAGTTTCAAGTTTAACCACTTTATTAGTAAGGCCCCTTTTTGAGTGTTTGTATAAATTCTTAGCAAAAATTTTTCTCAACCAACCCTTTATTTTCTCTTTCTGTTACATCATTTACTTTGGACCCGTGTCTCCATGTTCTTTTGGTAACATCCTATTTTTCTGGGTGTCAATCATATTACGCAACCCCTGTCAATACTTACCAATCTTCATCACATTTCTGAAACATTTTGATGACGATAACAATAACTGCAAATAATTTTTACTTTTGTTTGACAATCCTTATTTAGAGAACAGAAAGACTGAGCGAAGAAATATTTACTTTTCAATTAGATCCTCATCTCTGGCTCTACTCTAATATGCACGTATAGCATTTTTATTACAATGCACAACAGTTTACCAAACAAGTGGCGATACGTTTGTTAACATTAATTAAACAGTGTCAAAATGTCAATGGGTTGATAATTAACGAAGAAAATCAATACGCACAATTAAAAGGTAGAAATGGATGGAATAAATTAATTTTACAAGGATTCCGATTGCTTCAGCTGTCTGTAGAAGACACCTGAAGAAGAAATTTGTACAGCCACTTTCCTTACCGTGGCCATCGTTACAAGAATGCATAAACAGGACTACGTCGCCCCCTTCCCCCTAAACCTTTAAAAACTATAAAAATTATAATTGTCAAAATTATTTTTCCTGACCACTTCATCTTTAATTACGTGTTATCCTTGTAAAATTAATTTATTCCATCCATTTCTACCTTTTAAATGTGTATTGACTTTCTTCGTTAATTATCAACCCATTGACATTTTGACACTGCTTAATTAATGTTAACAAACATATCACCACTTGTTTGGTAAACTGTCGTGTATTGTAATAAAAATGCTATATATATATATTAGAGTAGAGCCATAATGAGATGAGGATCTAATTAAAAAGTAAATATTTGTTCGCTCGATCTTTCTGTTTTCTAAATGTCTAAATGGGAATTTTTTCTGTATTGAAATCCTAATTTACACACGCACATAAACACACAAAATCATTATAGATAAATGCGATTGTACAGCTAAGTGAATGAGTTTGCCGAACTTTTCGCTTTTATAATCATGTCTGGATGGGTATTTCCCGTAAATAGTATAAATGGTATAGTTTCTCAATGCCCGGATTTAATTAAAGATGTGTTTTTAGGTTCTATAACTTAATCGTTGACAATAAAGTACAATTAAAAATGATTTACAGGATTAAACGGATCGCCTTTCTATGTAGTGTCAAACGAATCCCACAACAGAAATAATTTTAGTTACAGGATTTCATCATGAGCTAACATTGGTTAAAGAAGCATTGAAAAACCTGGACAGTTGTTTCGTCCTAGTTAAGGACTCTTCATCAGTACGTACCCACCGCCAGGGTTCGAACCCGGGACCTTCTGGTTACAAGGCGAGCTCTAATACCATTAAGCCACTGGGACCCGATCCAATGGCCAACCCATGAATTCTAACTTCTGCCAATTCACAATATAGAGCAACCGCTAGCCAATGTCTTCGGTGAGTATCTGTCCTCACAGCCGACCTGCTGCACCCTACTGGTCACGACTTTGCCAAATATGCATTTCTAACTTCTGTTCATTGTCTGTATTGTTTTCTGGTTTACTGATATTCGATTATTGCAGATTACACTTACAAATAATTATTACACTGATCGAAAATGTCCATTAAAATTTTCAAAAGAGTGGATACTGAACAAGGAGTACTCTTTTCGATAAATTCATCAACAGGTTCTACAATTATATATATACATTATAGTGAATGAATGAATTAGTCTTATGAACGACATTAATGTCTAAATAACATCAAATCAATAATATTGATAAATTACAGCTGAACAGCATCAACATAAAATAAACTGAATGTCAGAAGAATTAGGAAAGGTAATAGTACAAATTCATGAGTTTATAGTCTCTACTGAGGGCCAGGGCAGTAGTAGGGGCTGGCTGGACTCGTTTCTTCTGAACACAGAGCACTGGTTGTTTGAGGTGAATTGTAATAGCCTCTGCTAGTTAGAGCATGCGGTACTTCGATGATTTTGGCAATTTATTAGGAACCCTGTACATGATAGAGAAGGATTCTTCCAGGCTGGCTTTGTGACCGGCCGGTTTGCACCAGATGGTTCAATATCGAGCTGTTGATAGTTTTAACTACACCTTTACTTAGCCATAGTGGGAGATGTTCTCGAGCACGAAAAATCAATTTCTTAAAGCAACGGCCGATATAACTCGCTCCACCGTAAGCGCAGTTGAATTGATAGATACAATTTGAAGTGGCTAGTGTAGGTTGATGTTGATGCTGTTCAGCTGTAATCTATCAATATTATTGATTCGATGTTATTTAAATAACATTAATGTCGTTCATAACACTAGTTCATTCATTCACTATTATGGATGGATATATAACTGTAGAGCCTGATGATGAATTTATCGAAAACGGGTACTCTTTGTTCAGTATCCACTCTTTTGAAAATTGTTACACTTTTTAGATGTTCTATGGTAGTAGTTTGACAAACGCAAAATCATGAGTTAATTTACAGTAAAATGATGAGCATGGAGCAAGCAAAAATACATATGATCAACTGCAAATTTGTTATTGTTACGGCAGACAAGATTCTTTATTAGCCTTGAATTCGTGAATTATGGATGTACCAACATGATAACCTGATTGGACAGTTTTGGTTCGCTTAACTTTGGCTTAACTTTCTGAGCAACCATACAACCAATCAGACTCGTTTAATTCAGGATTTAATTTTCTGAGGGTTTGTATAGGAATAAGCTTAAATTACGCCTGACTTTTAAAACGCCTACGCATAAAACAGACAACCTTACTTTACTGGTGCTTGAATTCCACAGCAGTAGATAACGCCCATTAGGATCAATTTCACAGATTTGTAAACATCCAATGGCACTTTGTTAAAAGTAGGAAAAAACAAATAATAGAAATAAGTGTTAAAAACACCAAATTTCATTTTTATTACTTCAAAGAATGAGAGAGGCTTACACCTTACTCTACCAGTAAAATTTATCATGTCCCTGATCTCTTCCTAATATATAGACAAAATAAGGTATTTTTTTCACTGGAGTAGACGTCTTTTGTAAAGAAGAATGAGATAAATATTAAAGGATATTTGATAAGTACCTTCTTCTGTTTCCGTAGTTTTGATCTCACTTGAATAGTTATAAGACCATTTGTAGGGGAAAGGTTAATTTATGTAGCCGTGCACACTGTTGACCAGCCGACAGCTAGTAACTTGACACAGTGGTCAGGTTTGTATACCACAATGATCCAATGGGCAACATCGGCTGGAACTGATGTTCCTGTAGGTCTTACCATTCTAGAAACGCCATTCAAATAGTGGTTTGACTGAAAGCACTTTTCATCCTACTGTAAATCGTCTATAGTATGTTGGGGTCTGTGGGCAGAGTCTCATTGCTGGCCAATAGGGATGTGACAGCAGTTAGATGTTTCCCTAAGATAACCAGCAGGCCAGATATGCTGCCTCTCAACTCTTGAGAGAGAGAGAGAGGAGACAACAAAAGGTTGACCCTGAAAATTGGACACCCCGGTTAGTCTTACAGCAGTAAGATCTCAATATAGATACACACAAGGACCTTTGGGTCGGGTTCCAGTGGCTAATTGGTCTACGAACTCGCCTAGTAACCAGAAAGTTCTGGTTGGGACCCCGGTGGGTGCGTGTTGATGGAGAGTCCCAAACTAGGACGAGACAGATGTCCAGTACTTCCATTTGATCTTCTATTGGTCGTCTAACTGATGTTAGCTCCTGATCTATCCTGTATTCAAGTCTAAAAACCACTTCAAACACTCTGTTTATGACCGACCTTAAGCCCTGAAGTCATGCAACACTATCACTTCATCTGTTTTCGATACTCCAAGAAGACACACTTATGATAGTCACCACAAAGTTGACCTAGAATCACTCGTGTATTTATTTGAACACAGGATAGACACAAATGAATAACTACCCGACTGACTGACTGACTTACTCAGTAAATATATAAAACAACCCTTAAAGTCAAGTGTGCAGAAGATAAATTGAAAAGTTCAACAACAACCAAAACAAAAAAGATACTAAAAACTAAAATAAAAACCTGTCTGCACTTTAACTTGTCCTCATCCTAAAATTGCTATAAAAATCAATCAATTTTTGCTGATCAATACAAACCATCAGGTCTGAGTTAATAAACGACCACTATTACTACGACTAGGTAAAACCAGAAGCCAATATAGAAAACTATATGCTCGCACCAGCAAGTACAAAAAACTCAACCATAACCTATTTAGCTCGTGTTCTGTGCGATAAAGAAAGCATTAGGCGTGACACCTATAATTCATTAAATAGTCAGTAGTACAACTGGATCTCGTCTTTCCAACTCATATCATTTATAGGTACAACATTTTCTTTCTTTCTTTTCCTTTTCTCTCTCCCTCTCTTTTTCCGTTATGTGCTGCTTTGTTTCTTTCTCTCGCTTACGTCAGTAAATATGACAGCACCTACTTTTCTAACACCTTCAAACACTGTTTCAGTTTTACCTTTGCTACCGACATGCCAATATGTTGTTGTCATAATGAACTGAGATTTCCTTGATCTATGTAGAATTTTATTTAATTGATAATGTACTAACTGGATGCAATGCTGTAGTAAAAATGCTGAGAATTCCATTCAGTATCACAAGTACTGTTTTGGAATAAAGCAAATTATTATTATGATGATTAATACTTATCAATATAGAGAACCGATCTTCCTTACTCGAACTAAACAAAAGTCAGTTCTCACTGTGGTTGATAACGCAGGAACTCAACAACAAAAAACATGCTAGTTCACAACAACGAATGATTTTTATTCTTTCAGTATTCAATATTCAGTGTCCTACTAATATAAACAATATGATAATGTTATTGTTTAAATCATCAGAAAGTCACCATGATAAATTAATAAGGTTGATACTTATTTACAGTGGTATGCTGTTAATTTTAACAATAGACACTAGTAGGAGTTAACAGAAAAGAACCTGAGTTCAATGAATGCCTTTGCATTTGTTTTCCTCATAGTCATCGGGATGGTTCCAATCTGAGTAACCAAGATCACCACTAAGCTATTAAGATTATGATGAACTGCTTTGAGGATTGATCAAACTACAAAGGTTGGTCAGCTGGAAATAACCAACTCGTTAACACTTATTTATTCCGTTGATATAGATAGGTAAACCGCTAACACAATGAAGACTTTAGAAGAAATGAAATGACTATGACTGACTGGTTTCAAAATAGTACTTTGCATAGATGTGCAGCAGTTCGAGTAGCCGCCCTCCCTCCATGTAGCACACAAGCCAAGAGGAGAGAATAAAAAGAGACTTGAATGAGAGATAATAAACAATAGTGTCGGTCGGTTTTCGACATAGAACTTTGCATATAGGTGTGGCAGGTCAGGTCGCCACACTCCCTTCTTGGAGCACACAAAGCAACAGAAGAAAGTAGAAGAAATGCACAATAGAGACAGTAAACAGAGGTGTGAGACAAAGGAATAGTAATAACGAAGAACAAAACAGTTTCATTGGAAATCATCAGTCACAAGGAGTGGATGCATCTGCACCAGCCATTGAGAACGATTTTGAGCCATGTCACCAATTGTTTCCAACCATTGGTTTTTACCATCCCGAGGACCCCAACAAGACAGGAAGTCTACACCTACTGTCGTAGATTTCATTGATTGGTGCCATGTTTTGGTTTGACCGCCGCTAGCTATTTTCCAGCCTGACCCTATCCCAGTCACCTAACATTTCCCGTCAAGGAAGGCGACGACTAGGCATACGTAACACATGTCCTAACCATCTCAGTCGATGTAATTTCACAGTCTCGTCGATTGATTTCCCCTCCAACTCACCTACCACTCGACGCCTAACCTCCAGATAGAGAATGGTAATGTGGAAGAACAATTGAGTTTTATTGGATATGACAAATCACAAAGAGTCAATGCATCTGCACCAGCCATTGAGAAGGATTCTGAGTCATATCACCAATTGTTTCTAGTCTTCATTGGTTTTTATCATCCTGAGGATCCCAACCAGACAAAAGTCTACCCCTTCCTACATCGCTGGCTTTAACTAACAGTTGTGGATTTCATTGACCGATGAAACCATGCTTTCGTTTGACCACCACTCACCATGAGATCTTTTTCAACCTGATCTATTCTATTTCAGCGGCCAAGATTTCTCGTCAAGGAAGGTGATGGCTAGGTATGGGTAGCACATGTCCTAGCCGTCTCAATCGGTGTAACTTCACAACCTCGTCGACTGATTTTCCCTTCTTACCTAGCACTCGACCGAAGCCTAACCTCAACATATTGCTCACCTTATTATACCAATCAACACAGGAGATAGAACGCAGGCACCTATGATTAAAGACAGCTAGCTAGCCAGGCTTTTCAGTGACCATGTCTCACAGCTAGCCATAAAGAAGAACAAAGCGTACTGCTGTCGGATATCCTGTCTAAGCCAGAGATGGTGTAAGTTGGCTAATAAATGCCAAGCGAGCCTTCTGTATCTGTGCTAAGATTTTATCAACCCACTGGCACTGGCTGATGCAACTTCTCAAATAAGTAAATTGGTCAACACACTACACTAACCACTTCAATCCCTATTTTTAAGACAGTAGTGAGTGATTCGATGTATTCCAGTCCTGTAGCATCATCTTATATCTGACAGGAGCTGGTGAATCGCATGCCACACATTCGAAGGTTGCTGCTGCTGCTGAAGGTGTCCAGAAGACTGCATTTTGTCACCATCTTCAACAAGAAGGACTATGTGGTTTACATATTCTACGGAAACCCTGGTAACAAGTCTCTCCGTAAGCCACTGAAGTCAGTTAGGGCTAAGTCCATAAGTACATCTACGAAGAAATTAAAGAGAGATAAGGACAGTGGGTATCCCTGACGGACACTACTGGTTGTCATCACTTCAGACGACAACTCTACATAGGCCGTCACCTGGCTGACTGAATGAGTTCGAGTAATGTGTGCAATGTATTTTCTCGGCGCCTCATTCACGGCCAAACATCGCCAGAGTACCTCTCGGTCAACGGAATCGAATGCTGCGTTCAGATCAAGAAATATAACGATTGTTGGACGCCAGAAAGTATGGCTATGTCCTAGAATCTGTCGAAGGGTGAAGATATGATGAATACATCTCCTTCATGGTCTAAAGCCCACCGGATTTTCTCGTACCTGTTTCTCCCAGCATCACTTAATCTACGCATGATTATTGGGGCTATAACTTTAGATACCATATTGGTCAAGCTAATCCCCCTTAAGATTATCACAGGAAGACTTGTCTCTCTTCTTGTATACTGGGGTAATCAGTGACTTACACCACCTCTATGGGACTACCTCTGATTCCAAGACGTTGCGCAATACCTAAGTTAACTGAGACAGTAGATTGTCTCAACAATCCTTAACCACCTCTGGAGTCATTCCATCAGGTTCTGCTGCCTTGGCTCCTTTCAGATCAGAGACAGCCTTTGTAAATTTGATCAGGGACGGAGGCCCCGTGCTTATATCGCAGTCAGGGAAGTGTTGAAAAAGAACTATAAGAAGTGACAATTAATATTGCCAAACCGAAATTACTAAGGCTAAGCAAAGTAGTAACAATTCAAACTGCCACACATCTAATAAAAACCAAGCATAAAGGTAGGAAACTAAATAAGTGTGAAGACACTATAATAAATGTAACTTTACATAAGAAAGATTAGTGAGGATTTCCAGAACATTAAACATCGCAATGGGAGTGAATACATCTTTGGCATTACCAGCGATTTAGAGCTATATCATCACTAACGGTTTCCAACGACTTGTAAACTAACAACAAAATTAAACAACCAACTTTTCAAAACTTAAATTACTCCCTTTTACTTCACTACTTTAATTGTAATCCTCGAATTAAATGCAGGGAAATGTGTGTCGATTCGCAATGATTGAGCAGTTACACATCATTTCTTTAGAGGGTATTTTATAAGTGTTGATTAACACTGGAATCCAAAATGTGTCCCATTATCCTATTTGGGACTCGTCGACTGGATGTATCTGGCTACGACAGCTAACACTTGTACAACAGTTATCAATCTTTATTTGTTGAAATTATTGTTCTTCAACTTCTTATTGACTGATTTTTTTTCAGGGGGAAGAAGGTCAAACTACATTGGTCTTTGTTGACATTCTGTCTTCTTGTAAGGATTTTTCGATAATGCCTTAGGCTAAACATGATATTATTTACTTCATAGTAGTGAGTGGTAGTATATATTATGTGAGTAAGAGCATCGTTCTACCTCACGTGTGAAGTGGCATAATAAGGTAAGCAATATTGAGGCTAGGCATCGGTCGAGTGCTAGGTAAGGAGGGGAAATCAATCGACGAGGCTGTGAAGCTACGTCGACATGTGCTACGTATGCCTAGTCATCGCCTTCCTCGACAATGGACAATGTTAGCTGATATAGGATCAGGCTGGAAAAGAGCTAGCGGCGGTCAAACGAAAACATGACACCAGTCAATGAAATCCACAACAGTTAGTCTAAGCCAGCCACGTAGGAAGATGTACACTTCCGGATTGGGGTCCTCGGGATGGTAAAAACCAATGGTTGGAAACAATTGGTGACATGGCTCAAAATCGTTCTCAATGGCTGGTGCAGATGCATCCACTCCTTGTGACTGATGATTTCCAATGAAACTGTTTTGTTCTTCGTTATTACTATTCCTTTGTCTCAAATCTCTGTTTACTGTCTCTAATATGCATTTCTCCTACTTTCTTCTGTTGCTTTGTGTGCTCCAAGAAGGGAGTGTGGCGACCTGACCTGCCACACCTATATGCAAAGTTCTATTTCGAAAACAGACAGACAGAGTAAGAGCATTCATACGAGTAGGGGAATAAAATCAGTTAGAAGGTGATTCAGCCAAAAGTTCAGTCGATATTTCACTCATTATCACCAATACAGACATTTATGATCAAAACTACTTACTTAGATGGTGATTTCGACAAAGGTGATGTTGGACGCTGACAATTCAATGATTTCGAAATTCCTTTATCTGTTAGTTCACTTAACATAAGCGATTTTTCAACAGCATTTTCATCATGGATTCTAGTTTCATTACTAGTATTATTATTAATATTATTATTAGTATTATTGAGGTTCTCATCTTGTAATTGAATATTTGTGATATTTGAATTTTCATGTATTTCATGATTTGACTTTACTAACAACGATGACGGTGTTACTTTCGGTGACAAAGCGAAATCTAAGCGTGAAGTTATCTCACCATCACAAAATTCAAAAGATTCACTCCTGAAGAGAAAAAGAAACAGAAAATGAAACCTACGCCGTTTCAAAGAAAACCAATAATTTGTTAGTGTGGAAAATCATCAGTCCTATTATTAATTGAATAATTAATTATGATGACCTTCATAGACTTGTTAAAGTTCAACTCATAATTAATTAATTATTATTATTATTATAGCAAAAATATTCATTCAGACATCTATAAAACCCAAAATAATTGAGCAAAGGATATCATTTTCGATAAATTCCTCTTCTGGCTCTACAATTATATATATGTTTATATACATAGAAGCCTAGTGCACGGCTCAGCGAAGCAAACACTACAGTTGAGTATCTTCAAAACCACTCCTCTTTTGCGTTCGGGAGTAAAAGATAAAAATGCCTAATTTCGCCTCTTGCTTATATATCTCCCATTTTAACTGCTCCTGTGGAGTGTGCCAGTTACATAGGCCGTACAATTAGGCATGTTTCTTGTCAAATTTCCCAACAACACACTGCGTAGTTAAGCAACGGAAAAACAAAATTTATTCGCAGCGCTATTCTATCTCATCTTGTGGATTGAGAACACAAGACTGACTTTAACCGTGCTTTCAGGGTCATTTGCCGGATACCTACAAATCTCAATTTTGCCTTAAGAGTTCGACCACTAAATTTTGCTGAGACTGTGAGGACCCATATTAACAAGCCTAATTTGTGCATCTAAAACAAGTTAGTTCAGATATTATCCTTACCTTGGCCATCTAGGTTTGAATGATCCTGAATTTTTGTGGAAATTTCCCTAAAATTTTAGTTGATATTCTATTAGCTACTATATCTTTATTATTATTATAATTTAAGCATCTTTAACGAACTGTAATTCCATTGTGATCTTACTTTACAAATCGATATTATTTAAAAAATACTAATATTGTTATTGACTACTAATTTAGAATATTCTATGAATATAAACATGCATATATAATTGTAGAGCGAGAAGAGGAATTTATCGAAAAGGATATTCTTTGCTCAATTATTTTGTGTTTAATTATTATTATTATTATTGTTTCCTTAGGTTCCGAGTGAAACGTATGGCTTCAATAGCACACCTCCACTTTGTCTTATTTACTATGGTCCACTTTATCTGGCCCCATGATTATCCATAATTTCTGATCTCCGTCATGTTACCCCAGGGATCAACGCTCAACTTGTTGTTTCCCATTCGGGTTCCAATACAGCGATGGCATGCAGCACGATGTTATTCGATGGTGCCCTAGTCATCTCCATTTTCTTCTCCCTATTGATTGAACAACAGGTTCTTGGTTGGTTCATTCCCATTTGATCTTCAGTATGGTGTTAGTAAAGTCAGTTGTCGATAAAATTCTGAAGCCACCTGTTATAAATGCTTCACGTGACGTGTGATCCAAGTTTCTGACTCATGCAGAAGAACCGATCTTACATTCGTGTTGGAAATCTGAATCTTATTCTTAATGCCGCAGAGTGCAGAGGATTTTCAAGCTGATTTCAGAGTGATAAAGGTCTCTCTGGATTTTCTAATCCTGTCTGGTTTCGACATCCTCACCCATGCTGTTGCCTGTGGTTGAAACGATGCTTCCTCGCCGCATAAGTGAAGGGAGCAACCTCTTTCAAATTTCTCCCATTGATAACGATTGGTGCTGGTTGTTGTTGTTGTGGTTATCGTTGGCTATCCTTATCACCTCCGTTTTCTCTATGTTCTATTGAAGTTCTCGCCTTGTCTACTATCTCGGTAGTCTTCTAGCCAGTCCCAAGCCCGGGGAAAAAGGGAGAGCTGTGTGAAGCTCTAGAAGCCCCATCCTAGAAAATCAATCAAATCGCCACAAAAACGTCAAAGTACAAGAAAATTGGTAACGCGTTATTAATAGTAATATTTTAGTATTCTTGAGAAAGAATGATTAAGAAAGCTGGAATTGCACAGTCAGTTAGTGTTGTATTCGAAGTAATTTAAATCTCTGAAAAATAAACTTGGAATATTTTGTTGTCTGTTTACGCTTAGCTACCTGGAACTGATTTCTCGTGTAACAGACTAAGTGACACACGGAATATATCAGAGCTGTTGATACTTCTCAGTAGCTTGGGATGAAGAAGATCAAGACGGAAGTGGGACCCTTCAACCGACAGATGAAAAGTTGAGCGATTAAGTCAAGAAGCCATATCTCCACATATTTTATTGATTGGATCAATTTATCTTCTGTTTGCCCTTTAATCCACGATAAACCTTGACATAACTTAATTTGAATCACAGGGGAAATATTTCTGATTGGTAGATTTCATAATCCCCTTAGAACCTTCAAATGATGTTTATTTAGGCAATGAAAATCACTCCACTAATAATAATCACGAAAGCCTTGATCAAGGCTACTGGTTTATATCCATTTTAAAATGATTTACCAATATCCAAGTTGCAGAAAGTCTATAAAATCATTTCAGTTGTCAAATTTAATCTGTTTTTTAGCAAATTTCCTGATTTTAAGATATATATCGAATACTCAAGTGAAATTGAATTTCAACGTACAACTTCGCACAAACATACAACAGATCAATCTACTTCACTCCTTAAAAACATACATAAAACTGAAGAACACAAAGAAATTAAGAAAAACCTACAATGAAGAGGAATTCTCCAGAGAATGAACGGTTACAAAGTAAACGATGAGGATATGATAGACCTCAGAAGACCACGAAGAGTGAATACATCTGCACCACTGGAGCCGACTTTGATCTCAGTCACAAACGGTCTACAGTCATTGATTCATGGAGCTTCTTGAGTCTCGGTCAGACAGGCTTCAGATCTCTACGTGACACAAACCAACAGTGAAGGACCGCATGGACTGATTCCATTTTTTTCACACGACTACCCCTTACTCTTTTCAACAACTTAATTGTATAGCAGCCAGCATTGATCAACGACGAGGGTGGTAGTTATGCATCCCTCACACAGCCTGGTCTTCTCAACCGATAAAGCTTCAAAACCCCATCAAATAACCTCCGCTCCTTATTGAACGCTCAACATCTTACGCCAAGTCAATATTACCGATCATATCATAGCACCTAACACGAGAGGTGGAACGCAAACGCTTACTGTCAAATACAATTTCACATTTAAATATACACCTGTAGTCTGTTATAATAACGACATCTGTTTCTTTTAAGCAAAGTACCTTTTGCTAATATAGTTAAGCATGATGCACTTAAGTCTGCTACTTTCAAACAAAATCCAGCAGTAATGCATTTAAATTCTTCAGTGCATTATGTTTAACTATATTAGCAAAAAGTGCTGTGCTTAAAAGAAACAGATGTCTTTATTATAACAGACTACAGGTGTATATTTAAATGTGAAATCGTATTTGACAGTAAGCGTTTGAGTTCCACCTCTCGTGTTAGGTGCTATGATATGACCGGCAATATTGACTTGGCGTTAGATGTTGAATGTTCTATAAGGAGCAGAGGTTATTCGATGGGGTTGTGAAGCTTTATCGGTTGAGAAGACTAGGCTGTTTGTCTCTTGCTGATAAAAAGAGTTAGGGCTGGTCGTGTGAAAACATGGAATCAGTCCATGGGGTCCTTCACTGTTGGTTCGTGCCACGTAGAGAAGTGAAGCCTGTCTGACCGAGACTCAAGAAGCTTTATGAATCAATGACTGTAGACTGTTGGCGACTCGGTTCAAAGTCGGCTCCAGTGGTGCGTATGTATTCACGCTTCGTGGTCTTCCAAGGTCCATCAAGTTCTCATTGTTCTCTTTGTAACCGTTCCTGGCGAAATGGTGTGCACTATAATTTGTCTGCATCTACTGTTTTCTTCACTATTAGGAGACTTGACTTTAAGTAATGAAAAAGATTGAATAGTTGTATGTTTGTGCGAAGTTGTACTTTGAAAATTCAATTTCATTTTAGTAATTTGCACAAGTTTTAATAAAGGAATTCATTATAAGCAAGTTAAATTTATCAACTCAAAAGATTCTTAAATATCTAGAATATGGTAAAAGATGGAACACTTCCATCTAGTCAACAATATTACTCTTAAAACATTTTGTTAGTTAGCTATAGTTTTAAACTCAGACAGTCTTGTCAATGTTCACCCAACATTTGGTCCGTATGAAAAAATCGTCTAGGCATCAAATTATTTTCATTTTCGGTAATTACAAATTCCCTGCTCAAATAGCAAAGAAGTCCTGCTACTAGTGAGGTAACTAGTAAATATTCCCTTTTTACAGGACATGCAGTGTTTAGTGGCAAAATATGCAAACTGAAAGAAGAGAAATAACTACCTTTGCCTGTATTGTTAACGAAAACAGACAAAGTCTGACACAATGACTGGAACAATAATTGAAATTCGAAATTTTCCTTTCTTAGGCCTGCTGAATAAACGTAATCGAAGCGAGAGTAAAATCTTGGCGTTTTTATTTCTTGCGAAGTTAAAAAGTGATGTTACATTTCTAAGAAAGAGGTGAGAAAGGTACGAACTTTTACAAAACAGTGAAACTTATTGAGAATGGTGTATGCTTCAGTTTAAGACCTATTCTAGAGTTGTTTCAGTGAATTTCACTTCACAAAATTTTATTTTAGTTTTAACCTCATTTCATTTTGTTAGTTTGTTACATCTTTTGATTTTTTGAGATATTTTCAGTTGTCGCCAGAGGTCGGAGTGAACTATTGACGAAAATTTCCCTTTTTATCCTTTAAAGTGATAATAGAATAGTTTTTATGAGGAGTGGCACAAACAAAAGTGTACTAGGTGCAGACAACCTCCATTCAGCGAAAGATGATGGTGAGAAAAATTAAAAATTTTACACGGTCTTAAAGTCACATGTGGTATAGTCAAAATTCAGATAAATGTGAACATACATTACTAGGTCAAAGTTCCTTGCGGTTTCCAACCACCGTTCGAGAAACATACAGTCAAAAAACGATTCGTTTCCTATTCTTATATGTGTCACGTTAGGTTACTAACTCAGGGCACAAATTTATTTGAACTCTAAACATGAATTACGATAAAAGCTTCGTATGTAATTGAGTTAATAAATCCCCCATAAGCATCTTTTGTTTACTCTACGAGTAGCTTGTATAATAATGAAATACTAAATTCTACATTCGATTCGACAATCAAACTGCATTCACACTTATTTTAACTCTACTCCTAGGATAAAGTTTGACATTCCCATTATTTTTATTCATGCATCATATGAGCGAATTTTTATCATTACCAAGGTTTTTAGAAGCAAAAGGTAGACATATGCACAACAAAGTGACCAATTACTAGCCCTGCAACAACTGCTCAGGAAACACCTCCCCTAAAACTAAGCGTAAATCCCAAAGTCTCTAGACCTATGTTTTGTACTGATCTGTTTTGACCTCGAGATGTGTGATACTTCTAAACTCTTCCACAAAAAGGATTGACTTCTAGTCAAGAAAATGTGAGTGATTATAAACATATCTCAATAAAATTTCTTACTTGTCAGTCTCCAAACATTTTGGTTGCTCACTTTTAGCTTCTCGTTCATCATTAGTCAGAATTTCTTTGTCAGGTATGGATAGATTGAGACGTTCTTCTTCCAGTTCTAGCATGCTCTTGAACCTGGTTATTTCCTTCAAAATGTTGTCTTCATTACTATGAGCGTATTCAACTTCTGAGGCACTCGAAGTGATTATAGCCTCTAACTCTTGAATCTTTTTCTCATAAATACTTCTTAAACGGCCATTCTCTCTGCTCAAACTGTCCAGAGCATTTCGTAGAAGTTCACTTTGATGTTCAGTACTCTGAACCTAACAGCATATAAATAAGATATTGAACAAACTTTGGAATTGAGATCAGCGATCTGTTGTTGGAAATTTAACATTTTATGATCATTTTCCAAACTTTTCGTTTTGAGCAGTTTATTTTCTTTTCTCTCCAACAATAGCTGACTTTGTAAAGTTGTTATCTGAAAAAGTTAGTTTCTTAATAAATTTAAAGTCATAAAAAGTGTACAAGCAAATCTACAGCAGCTAAAAACTACAAGCGAAGCCTACAGATTTTCTGTATGTATCTGCGATCTTTTGACGATAACGAGTTATTTCATTTTGAGCTTTTTCATATAGTTTCGAAATTACAGTGGGAATAGAGGCCTCTTTCCTTCGAGCCTCTTCGATTTGTAAGTCTTTCGCTGCGAATTGGGAAATGTACCACTGTATTCGATGCTGACTGCGACTTAAACGCTACAAAATAAATGGGTTGCATCATGAGAGCAGGAAAATTATCATTGGAATAAAGATAAAATCAAACATACCTCCTTAGCAAACTTCTCCTGAGAGTTTAACTTCAGCAAAGCACTTTGGAGCTGATTAGCAGTGGAAGCATGAAGATCTTCTGATAGTGAAAGCCTTCAATTTAACATGAGTAAAGATAGTCAATACTTCTGTTTAAGTAAGTCAATCTCTTCCGTAAGCTTTAGCCTTGTTAACTCATCATCACCACTAGACATTTGTAACTCTTGCAGGCGCATTTTTAAAGCTTCGTTCTCTTTAGCTTTTTCATTGATCTCGGATTTAAGAGCACTTATATCGAGGAGAAGCTTGGCATTTTTAGACGACTCAATGGATATCCTGCAACTTTGAATAACTCATAAGAAAACTCGAAACCTGTCCATGAAATGAGTGTCATTTTCTTTCCTTGCCAGGAGCTCATCTTCTAAGTCTCTTTTTTCATCCATTAGGATGCTTAGAGTAGTAGTTAAGTGATTTATCTGACATTCGTATGACGTCCGTAGTAGTTTAAGGTCTTCTTCTAAACTGTTTATCGACTTATTAAGAGCATTCAGATCTTCTTCATTCTTAAGTTGCTTAACACGATGAACATAAACTGTAAAGCGTTCATTTAGCCGTCTAAGTTCTTCAGTGACATTATCCATGGTATTTGTATTGCCACCGAGTTACTATCATAGAGTAATTGACTCTTTCAAACAAAATGTTTCGATATCACCATGTCAAGTTAGCCATAATTTTTAGATCTGTTTACTGTATATTAGATGTATTCAGAGTGGCTGAAAATTTGTAGTGAATTTTACCGGGGTACCTTGAGTAACAATGAAACACCACAGAAAATTTTATTTCAAAATCAGAGGCTACTTGTGTCTGAGGACATTAATGACTACCCAGCTGACTACTTTGGTTGAGAGACATACATGATAGAGCTTAAGAGAAAAGGGAAATGACAGCCTTATAACTTAAGTGGACTAATACACAAAGTTGAACCACTGCAGTTACATGTGATAGTTAATGCTGGAAGTCAGTTCCAGACTTTCTATAGATTCCAGTGTTTATAGTGAAACAGTCACGAGTGTGCCGACAGGACATTGAAAAAATGAGTATTTTATTAGTCCTTAAGTGGGCCACCTGCTCTTATGTTTCCTTGCAGTTTCACGAGATGGTGTAACGAAGTCGCTCTTTCAGGATCGAGTGTTGACCTAAACTTCATATCATGCATCCAAAATATTATATGAGATGTCTAGTATTCAGGTTAGTGATTTGGAGCACCCGCTAATATTAGTTTTCCTGGTTCGCCCATTATTAGTGGCACAGGCACCCACTGATTGTGTTAATTACCACGAACGTGCCTCTGACCTGCATATCCACTTACTAGTTCCAGAGTAAGGTCCCAACAACACACAGGTCATACTTCACACACCAGAGTAAATCAGCTAGCACTTAGTGATTAAGGGACACAAAAAGATGATATGAGTGGTCTGGTAGAAAATTTTCCTTCTCATGCTCCATACAGTTTGTAACCTCTGTTGAAACGTTTGAAATAATGACTACGCTTCTGTTTGTCTGACAGGGCTACAGAGCTTTACTTGCACACCAGAGTGCCTACGATATGCGTGTCCAATGTCAACCTTTGTCTTCTTACTTCATGAGCTATTTCAGTAGTTTAGTGTTTGATTATTTCAACGTGATGGTGGAATGTTAAAAATTCCTACGCGGCCAAGCAATCTTATACTAAGCTCAAGCAACGACTAATTAAATGACTCTTGATGTCCAAAAAGTGACTCATACAAAGACTGTTTCAAAGGGGGGACATTCTGTAATAAATCCCAAGCACAGTCCTCGACCACTTATGGCAACCAGTGAGATCCATCATAGTGAGAAATGCTATAATAAAATGAAGGTTGATACAAGTACGCTCGAAGTGTCCTACATAGATGGGAATATATATATATATATATATATTGATGATTAATAAAGTGTTTGCAATTTACAACGAATGTTCAACATCCTGGCAGCACTCCTGGGCAGTTAATAGGTAACGTATATCTAATAGTGAAGAGAAGAGGCTTCACAGAGGGGCATGTAAACCACACACAATCTGCTTATTACCCAATAATCTCGCAATTTGTGGCCAGTATTCTGTTATTTGCAGAAACACTACAATAAATACAGCTAGCGTGGTATAGTCGCACTAAATATTCTGAAAGACAACGTTCTAAGTCCAGAAAAAGACCTAGACATGCCAGATCGGAAGAAAATTTCTGTTGGTATTACTGACGTTTTGGTGCACAATCAAGACATTACACACAACCGCGCGTCTGGCCTAAATCACCCCAAAGCAACGTCTAAACGACTAAACCCTTTTTAGTAGAAGTTGTCAGAAAAGAGGTGCCGGACAGTGACCCATTATACTTCGAGATTAAGTGTCCAGTACAGAAGCTGCACTCAGTCCTATGCAGAAAGAAAGACTTCCGGCTTAAGCGTCAGCTGCCTTGGGCTGTTATTGCCGCCAGACTAGACCTGGTGGTTTTCATAGACTTCTTATGAAGATCTAGCATGCTTGTGGATACCCAGAAGGGGTAATAGATGTCAATGAAACGTTGAGCTACAAGAACTGTCGACCAAGTGGTCACCAGGAACCCAGTGCAGCGAAAAACACTGCCATTACTCATTGAAAGATTACGGAGAATACTAGTGGAGTTTTTATCCCCAAACTCAACTATCCTCAAAATCTCCAAGCTTGGTTCGAACATAAGACATACTATAAAAGCACAAAGACGCCCAAGTTTTGCGAAGTCAAGGATGCTTGTCTTGGAATAACTAAAAATCACGAAAACTAGACTCATGCTCATGCGCTGTTTAGGAATAATCCACCCCTTTAAATAATCAGTTGGCGTCACCACTGTGCTTAGTATCTAAGAAAAGGCAAACCAACTTGTGCGTCAAATACGCAAACTGCTCAGGGCTGACACCCGGTGGCCCATATGTAGGTTGTCACTAATTATTTTTTTTTGATTAACAGCTTGATTCCACATCGTATTTTCAGTACAAGTGTGGAATTTTCAGCATGGATATCGGTAGCCCAAATTCAGGCTGACCATAGATATCGGGTGTGCGCCGGCAGGGGATCGAACCTCGGACCATGTGCATGGTCGGCGAGAGTCCTAACCACTGTGCCACCGACGCTATCCATGTAGCACCAATACATTCGCACAAACTGACTTCGTCCGCACCCATCACGACATCCTGATAGTTGAGAAATACGTTTCTAAAACAGCAACTGCCACCCTACTGGAATTCTGCGAGCTTCTGCTGATGTGATTCGGTCTCTGGAATGCTGTACTAAAATTGCAAAGACTTTTGGACGACCAGTCATGTGAACTGCAGTCTTCCAAGGCTTTTATATATAGCCCATCCGCAGGTAATCCGGATGTAAAGACCTGTGATAGCTACATTCGCGAACTGTTGTGAAGACACTTTATCTGGGCAGGTACGTTATTTGAGCAGAAACGAGTGAACTCTTACAGCAAGTCCTACGCCAGTGGAATTAGGATACTCTCCCTTCTGCTGAGAGTTTTTATCAGTATGCTTAGCCGTCAAACACTTCCACCACGTTGTAGAAGACAGACTATTTACTATATTCGCTTCAGCTTTCAATGTGAAGAACGAGAAGTACCCAAAATTTGAGATTCAGCACTTTGGTTCTATACAATGCTATGCATTTGCTAAGACGTAAGACCGATCTCATCGGTGGACCTAACTAGTGCCTCACCGTTGGTGTAGTTTTACGGTAATACTGAACGATAGGGTGATCTCCGTTGATTGTAACAACAGCAGAATTCGTTCCACTTCAGCAGTTGAGTGTAATGTTTCTAATGCACATACAGGCCACTCTGATAACAAAGTACTGCTGAAATTGTAGTTAGCTTACTGTTGACGTCTTTTGTCTGACAGCTTGTATTCAGTTTGGTAGTTCAGATAGGTCATCATCTAAAAGACTGATATCAAGCCCTCTTTGGTTTAACTGTTACTGAGAGAGCGAAGTCTCAGTCTTCGTAACCTTTCTTCATACCTCCTAGTGATATAATTTCTAACTCTTTTTGGTTAATTTCTATGGAATTATTTCCAACCTCAAAAGTGATAATGGTGCGAATATATGAACCGCAAACTCTGACCTTATACACCCATGTGAACAAGCTAGGTGGTGGTGCACCTAACTACCTACTCGAAAACCAGAACTTGTGCTGGCCTTAACTGCATTTCCTCATTGGTTGGCAGCTATGTTTAGTTTCCAGACCAAGAATACGGAAAATTAACATTCCATCACCACGTAAGTGGGGTAATTTTTTCATCAATATAATGAAGATTTGAAGAGCTGCTTTGTTCAGTAAATAAGTCAGCCCTAAGATATTTTCTTTTGATACATTTAACGTTGATGACTTCTATGTAGGGCATACATTTTAAAACTTCACTGTCACTGAAAAAATTCTAATATGGTTCACTCATAGATTACTGATTCTCTTCATAAATACTCTGATAAAATAAATTCACTGAAAAGGGCTTGGTTACGTCCAGAAGTAGTACATTGGTTGGATTGCCCTGATCTCAATACTTTTTTCAGTTATCACCTTCTCTTAGGCTTTCTGCAGCAACTTTCAGCCTGATACAATTTTTCTGTTCCATGTAAATTGTTCCTGATAAGATAATTCAATA